AGTCATGGCATCCTCGTTTAGAAAACTTTTTAAACCAAAATCTATATCAACTTCTGCATTGCATACAACAATTAATTCAAGAGAAATTATGTCAAAATAACATCGTTTAATCAAGAAATAACAAAAAAGCAATTATCTCATATAAACCCAGATAATATATATCAAATAGGAACTTTTGATTTTAAAACAGCATATTCAATAAAAGAACATGAGCAAACTTTATCTCTTCAAAATGAATTTGAAGAAATTAAGTTATTATCTTCACTCGCTTTAGACAAGTATAAACAAAAAGGATTTAATTATATCTATTTTGGTTTAATACAAATAGCCATAATGTATATTCTTAAATATGTTGTATTTATAATATAATTGGATGTAAATATTATTATTTTTAATTTTTTTTTTTTTTAAAAATGCCAAGTGGACCAATAAGGGAAGAGTGAAACCTTACTTTTATATGTATGATTAGTGATCACATAAATGCAAATATGTGTTTACAACGATAACAGTTTGTAGCAAAATTTTGCGATAAATTAATACAAAATTGAAACGAATAAAAAATTATAGCTTTTAAAAAAATGTGTATGTAGTCATATAAATACAAGTTGTAGAAAAAAAATTACATTGTTTCAAACTAATACCAACCAAAAGCCATAAAGGTAAGTTGACAAAAATACAAGCTAACAAAAGTTGAACACCAAAATGCTTGCGATTCATACTTATATCATTGTTCCTTCACCACTGCTATCTTCCCAACTTGCAAAATTGACCTTTCTCGACCGAATGGAATCTCTCCAGAATGCTATCCATGAGATTTATTGATCATGGTTTACTGCTTTTCACTTGCAAAGGACCATAAATAGATGGCTTTGCAAATCATTGTTAATGCTTTATCTTTTAGAGGAAATCCATGAAAAAAAAATCGATTTTCGACCAGCAATTGAACATTTCAGAGTATGAGCATAATTTCGATGTTGATAGTTATGTCACATAGACAAACCATCCTCTGAAGTGATCCCATCTGTTTAGAAAACATTTATAAAATAGAACATAATAAGTCTCAATCCCACTTTCCAAACACACTGGTTAAAAAAATGCAATTTACAAAAGTAAATCTAGCATAAATGGATATTAGTTTGGAATGTTCGCCACGCCCTATTGTGAAAAACTTGGTTTGCGCAATCTTAAAGTAAACAACCTTTAGTTTGACACCGTCCACAATAACACACATGTTTTTACCCTAAAACAAATACTTGATTAAAAATATTGGTGCAATTATTAACTTGTCCAGACAAAAAAAAACTTACTTATATTTGTTATTTTATGTTTATTACTCTTTTTAATGCTCACCAATAAGTTTTGCATGATGTATATTTTTTCTTAGAATTTTTTGAATATCACAAACCAATCTGTGTTTGGTTTAATGAAATTGATCCTAAAACAAAACAAAAAATGTCTTGATTCGATAATGTTTTTCTTTTACCTTGCAAAAATAAAATTTAGTAAATAAATCAATTGATCATCGTTTTGTGAAATATTTGTTAAAAAGTTTAGCAATAGGATACATACAGAGAAATTCTAATCTCCCGAATTAATGTTATAAAATTCAAAAATTGGATCAACTCATAATGTTCACAAAGTTTATTAATAAACATGTTTTCCTTGCTCATTTATAACAAATACTCTGAAGAAGCATATTTTTGTTGACAAAAACATAATTTTTTAGAGGTTAGAAAAATAAGATTAAAGGGAGACACAACAAACTTGGCTAACTAGTCAACCGATATATCATCACTATTTTAATTATTAAATTTGATTTCCTCTCTTTTATACCTCCTCATAGTTACATACTATAAATTAAGATTTTTTCATTATAAAATTAATCTCCCAAGCATAACTCACCAAAAATTTTGTTTTCTTCTTTGTTGTATGTTTTATTTGTTTTGCAATAGGATCTTCAAAACTCGTTAGAATTTTTAATAGCGTGAGACCACATATTTAGTTTGACCTCTTTCACAATGTTGGATTAAACCAATTTCTGTTGTTTTGACCAAAAAATACAGTTATATGTAAGTTTTGGTTTTTTGATATGTAATTTAAATATCATATGTTCATAAACTGAACCCTCCATTGAAGATCTCATAAATATCACTAAAAACCATAAATTAAGTATTTGAGATCTGAAGTTTTTATCATGTCATTGCCAACTATATATATCGGTATATTTTTATCAAAACATATTTACATTTGGTATAAAATTTATACATTTGTTGTAAACTCAAATGCGTATAAAATATAAAAGAAAGGTTCAAGAAGGTTTTTTTTCCTGACGATATTTTGAAAAGTTTTGAATCCTAACATTACATTAAATATACTCAGTGATATAAAACTTATTGGTGAGCATAATCTTTATGATCATTACTGTTTATGTTTTCATAAAATTGGTTAATATATCTAAATATAAAGCCTACTATTTGTATTGCATATTGTTAATTAGAAAATATGTAAATAAAGAGAATAATACTTTGTTTTAAAATTTAACAGGTTCTAAAAACATGTTTTTGAAATTTGAAAAAATATTATTGGTTGGTATTCTATGTATCATAAACAAAATTACGATTAAATGGCAAATGTACTAAAAAAAAAATTACATGGTTATATTTTTAATGCTATAAGAACATCTTGGAGCTCTAGGATGCATTTGAAATAATGAATTAGTAGGATAAAAAATAAAAATAAAAATTAAACCACAACAAAGTATTGGAAAATAAAAAACAAAAAGATAAAAAAAAACAAATTTGGGCGAACATGTCCGCTTATCTAGCCTATGAATTCATCCTAGTTTAAGGTAATTTTATTTTGGTACTATCAAAACAAATATTTTCGAATAAGGAGAAGAGATAGAAAGAGAGATATTACCATCAACGTTCATGGTTTGGCTAGAGAAAATTTTTTCTCGTTGGGAGAAAATATGGTTAAAGATTTAGACTGCGCATGAGAGGACCGCTAAAACCTTAAATTTGCCTGATTCACAAGATAAATCCCCAAAACCCTTAAGTTTGCCTAATTCGCCAAATCAACCCCAAATTTTTTCGCTCCAAAAAACCCTAAGTTTTCATATTTCACCAAATAAAACCCCAAATTCTTCTCGCTCCGAAAAAAACCGTTAATCTTGCATTGACCGATAAAATTCAATGTTAGCACCTTGTTAATTAGAGTTTACTGTATTTCTTCCATAATGATTTAATCCTAAAATCCCTAAATGTGATCAAAAACCCTACTCTTCAATCTTCAGGTCTTCTTGTGTGTGCGAGATCGAAACGATGTTGGTTGTATTTTTTTTTGTTATCATAAAAATAGTTTAAACTTTATTTCAAAGGTGTATAAAAATTTATAACCATAACTTTCTTATTTCAAATGTATTCGTTTATATTCACACAATCACTACCTTTCTCTGTAGTTTTTTTTAAGGATTTTGTGCAAACAAGTAAAAACCTTCCAAGTAATTGTTTTTGCAACTTAACCTTCTATATCAAATAAATGCAGGTCAATATCGCGATCTCAAAAATCACCCACAATATAATATTTGGACATGTATAGATTTTGCAAACCGTATAAGTCTGTATATAGATGATCAAAACTATGTCGTTTTGAGTATATTTTAAAGAGAAGAAACAAAACAATGTTGAGGAGTAGATTCAAACCTATGACCTATGGAACATTCAAATCATACATAATCAAATGCGCTGCAACAATTTAATTGGTAAACTATACAAAACAATAAATACATAGGCTTGTTTTGTCACATAACCTAAAGATTTGTACGCGATTAGGAGGAGAAAAATGCACGAAGAGATTAACAATCTTAGGACTTGAATTCCTTGGTAAGCAAACATATGATAGTTTGTTGTTTAATCACTACGAGATCTGGTTCTGTCTTTAGGCTGATCAAATGATGATTGTTGCTGTAATTTATATAGGTACTCAAATTTTGATTCTACGGTCTGTCCTAAGAAGATTGGATCAGTGGTCTTAACATAGAGTTTTATAGATAGTTTGGGTGATATGATGATATATTGTGTTGTGGAGTTGAAGAGTCTTTGGACCAAGAGAATTTCACAAAGAAGTGAAGTACACAATTGGTGATCGAGACTTATGTATTAATATAGTAGTCACATGATTTGAGTTTGGCTGCATTTATTTATTTGTTTGTTGCAAAGATTTATATTGTTGTATTTTTGTAATTCTATAATTTTCTTTAGTTGGAATTTTATTTATTTATTTACATGATAATTATTGTAAGAGAAGTTTTGAATTATAAGGTTAAGAAAATGTTGTATTATATTTAATTTGAGAGTATCACCGTTTTTGGTCCCAGTCTCTCAAATCTAATAAACCTTAAATTAAGTTTGGAAAACTATCATGACTTTCATCTAAACATGAGCCAAAATTTTATTATGATATTTTGAAGGGTGTTAAAATTTCTATACTCAATTATCCGAACCAAACAAAAAATTGATTCGAATCTAGATTTTATGTGATCGAACCTAATTAATCAAAAATTAACATCTCTAATTAGTAAAAATTAAAATTTATACGAACCGACATAAATTCGATTCAAACTCGAGATGAATTTTCTTATGATTTAAAAGGTATTAAAGTTCTATACTGAATTATCTGAACAAAACAAAAAATGATTCGTATATTATGCGATCGATCCAAGTTAATCAAAATTTATCAAAAATTAGTATCTGTAATTAGTAGTATTATCAGAAATTTTTTTAATATACTAAAAGCTACAATATTAAGTAAAATAGTTAGTTAAAAAAAAAAAAACTCAGTCCCAATCCAAAAATTCCGAACCAAACTAAACCAAAGAATACCCAAAATTAGTTTCAGATTTTCCGCACGTGAGATACGCGTGCTAAGATATATCACAGCTCGAATCTGAGTCCTTTTGTGTTTTTTCCAGCATCGGAAAGATCTTACCTTCGATTTCCATTTCTTGCTTTCTTCTCAGTTCGTCACGATCGGAGCTTTTTGTCCGATCTCAAATGCCCAACTCCTCCATTCAGTTATTTTCCTGGTAACATCGAAGTGGCGCAAATAACCTAACATTGGAGTTGCTCTCTCCCAGAAATCTCGAGAAGTTCAAGTAACGAAAATGGCTTTGGTGGCGGCTTTGGAGGCGGATCTTCGCGCCCTCTCCGCCGAAGCGCGACGGAGGTACCCCGCCGTGAAAGATGGAGCCGAGCACGCTATCCTTAAGGTTAGGATTTTCTCACAGTGTGTTGTTCGAGCTTGAATTTACTGTAATCATGGAGATATGATATCGTCTTTCAAATTGGTGTTTGTTTTAGTTAAATTGGCTTATAGTTTTCCATTTAGACTCTAAGATTGAATTGTTGAGCTCAATGAGCTTTCTCTGTTTTTATGTAACTTTGGTTAAAGGAATGAATATTAGGAATTGTTGGAATGTTTCTGGAGTGTTTTTTAGTGCAAGCAGTGAGAGTCGAAATGGTTTATATGTCATTCTTGCTTTTTCAGCTTCGGTCGTCATCGAGTGCCAGTGATCTTTCAAGTAATGAAGACATTCTTCGGATCTTTCTGATGGCGTGTGGAGTCAGGAATACAAAACTTAGTGTTATAGGACTTTCATGTTTACAGAAGCTTATATCTCATGATGCAGTTGAACCATCATCTCTAAAGGAAATACTTTATACATTGAAAGATGTAAGTGAGAGTTTCTGTAACTTCTCTATATTAATGCAATCCAAAGCACATGAGCTTACCTTAGGATAAAAGTTTACCTCTTTCTGTTTTTATAATTAGATGACTAACAGCATGTTGAATTACAAAATACATAAGATCTTCATAGATACCTTTTGACAGACTTAAGTCTTTATGATACATTATTTCTGCTAGACACATTACCCTTCTTCTTCTTTTTTTTTTTTTTTAAAGGCAAAACAGATTTACGTTCTTGCTAAAATTATTGCAAAGAGCTACCTAACCCGGTGTTTCCTTACTTGCAGCATTCAGAAATGGCAGAAGAAAATATTCAACTAAAGACTCTACAAACTATTCTAATAATATTTCAGTCTCGACTACATCCAGAAACAGAGGTGAATACGACAAGCTTGGTCTAGTAAGAATAAAATTCTGTCGCAAAAAACTGCTGGTAGACTACATTATATTTTCAACCAAACATCAGTCATGATCCTGGTTATTGACATACACAGAAGTTAAATGGTTCTACTATGCATATAACAATAGAATCCAGATGTCAGGAAATTGATTTTTTGGAGTAAATCATTATTCATTAATAAGACCACTAAACCAAACTGTCCTATACTAATGTAAAATCATTAGTTCTCCATAGATCTGCTTCCTTGTGGCTTTGCTAACTTTAGCTTTCCAGGATAATATGGTCCTAGGACTAAGTATCTGTCTCAGGCTTCTTGATAACAACCGACCTCCTAGTGTTTACAAGTAAGTTGCTTTTATACAAACCTCACCTCATTTCTCCTATGTTAATTTTTTCTTTTTTGTTGCTTTGTCCAAATCAAAATCCATGGTTTTTTTTTGCTCTCCCAGTACTGCTGCAGCTACCTTCAGGCAAGCAGTTGCCTTGATTTTTGATCAAGTGGTTTCGGCTGAGTCCCTTCCTATGCCTAAATTGGGTTCTAGCAGTCAAACAGCAAGGACTGGGTCAGTTACTGGAGATTTGAGTCAAAATATCAATAATTCAGAGTACGTCAGTCCTGATCGATTCTCTCTGTCTTACTCTTTAATCCTAATTTTTGTACTGTCTTTACCGGGAAGATATATAATTTGTGCTTTGTGGAATTTTTGTTACTTTTATACACACTGGGGGATGAAATGATTACATGCTGGTTCATTTGAGCTTTTCCTGATAAATTGAAAGACATAGGCTCTCCATTTTGAACTCGCTCTTTAGTCAATTGGAACCTTTGGCATTTGGTGTTACAGTTATTTGATAGACTAACAGAAATATGAAAGCAGGCCCTTGGAGAACGATGTTATCGGGGGTCGATTGACAATGAGAGAAACCCTGAGTGAAACCGGTAAACTTGGTCTGCGGTTGCTTGAGGACCTGACAGCCTCAGCTGCAGGTGGATCTGTATGTGTTACACTATATTGATTTTGGTGCTGTATCTCGTCTCCAGCTAAGTATCGTTATCGGGATATCACCAAATTAACTGTTACATTCATATTCATGCTCTGCAGGCAGCTTGGTTGCATGTTACTTCTCTTCCAAGGACCTTCTCCCTCGAACTAATTGAGTGAGTTGGCAAGGTTTTTTAATATCTAGTTGCACATGTTGAAGTAAAAGTTGAAAAATCATGTTTAAAATGCACGAGTTCCCAATTTTCGTGGCAGGTTTGTTTTGTCGAACTATATATCAGTTTTCAAGATACTACTTCCCTACGAACAGGTAATGCTAGGCTTTTTCCAGGTGGCACTTGTTTTTCATCCTTCCATTAGCGTGATGAACTAACTGTAAAAGTTTGCCTATTTATTCATCAGGTTTTGCGTCACCAAATCTGTTCCCTTCTGATGACATCGCTTCGGACCAGTTCAGAGGTAAAATCATGCCTCATTGCCTTTTGTATTGTATGCGTCCATGCGATCTAAAATATAATTTGGATTAGCATTAAAGAATATCGAATTGCACTTACTCATAAGATTAAGTTTGTTACTGCTCAGCTCGAGGGAGAAATGGTTGAACCTTATTTTCGCCGGTTGGTGCTGCGGTCAGTTGCGCATATTATACGACTGTATAGTTCGTCTCTCATCACAGAATGCGAGGTACAGTATGCAAAACTTTACTGGTTCACTGTAAACTTTGTGCTATTGACCACAAAAGAACAAGCACATGAAACATGTTCTTCTGATGACTATGATATTTGCAAGTTCTTTTTACTGATGTGCGTCCATCCCATTTCTGTCTGTGCAGGTGTTCTTAAGTATGCTCGTGAAAGCTACATTTTTAGATTTGCCATTGTGGCATCGCATTCTTGTTCTTGAGATTTTGAGGGTAATCGTTACACTAACTTATTACTACTTGCACATGTATGTAACACAGTATAGGAGTTTGTGCTCAATTTCTTTCCAATTCACATTTCTAAGGTATCTTGTGTATGTGCAATTAATAGGGGTTCTGTGTTGAGGCAAGAACATTGCGGATTCTTTTCCAGAACTTTGATATGTAAGGCTACATACTTCTTTTTGTCCTTGTTATGTACTCAATGTTGCATCTTAAGGAAACTCCCGTCTTGTTCTTTCGTCATACTGTGCAGTTGAATAAGTTTCTAAATCTTAAGAGTTTTTCTTGTGATTCTACCCACTTTTTAGTTTTTACTACGAACTTTTGATAACGATTGTAATGCTATGTCTAATGACTTCGCTATATAATTCTCTGTTCGTCCTGTATTTTTAATCCTGATCATGTTTCTACTGTGATCTAATATTAACTTTTTCTTTTAAGGCACCCCAAAAACACAAATGTTGTGGAGAGCATGGTCAAAGCACTTGCTCGAGTTGTTTCTAGCATACAGGTGGGTTTGTAGGGCAGGACACCCGTAATGTTTTCTGTAGTCTCAATTTGCTTCAGTTCTTGTAGTCGCTAATTTTGATTTGTTTATTAGTTGGTTTTAGATGTACATTTAGTTTTACTTATTATGTTTACCTGGAAAGATTCTTTCGAAGAACTTCAGGAACTATAAAGTGGCTTGTTTATAGCTTAAGAATTGACATCGCATAATTGAAGTAAAACTTGGAACATGGCTTAATTCTTGAGTTGGTTTTCTTGAAAGTAGTTTCAGGAGACGAGTGAGGAAAGTTTAGCAGCTGTTGCTGGGATGTTTAGTAGCAAAGCTAAAGGTAATCAGTTATTTTGATGCTATGATGATTATTCATTACCTCTAAGGACCTCAGACTTCGAATAATTTTTACTTCATTCTAAGAAAGATGACATTAAATATATTCCCTAATGCTGTAGGAATTGAATGGATTCTTGATAATGATGCTTCCAGTGCTGCTGTTCTCGTTGCGAGTGAAGCTCATGCAATAACTTTGGCAATTGAAGGCTTACTTGGAGTTGTTTTTACAGTTGCCACATTAACAGATGAAGCAGTAGATGTTGGGGAGGTAATTGATGCAGAGTTCTCCTCTGGTATTCCATATTCTTTCTACTCCTTGCCTGATTGTCTCTTGTTTTTCATACTTACATGTCTTCAAACCACCAGCTTGAATCTCCCAGATATGAGCATCTTCCTTCATCTGATTATACTGGGAAAACCTCACATCTCTGTATCTCAATGGTAGATTCATTGTGGTTGACTATACTTGACGCATTTTCCCTTATATTATCAAGGTAAAATAACCCTATTGCCAGACTATACGTTGATTGTGAAGAGGCGAACACTGAGGACTTTGTTTAATCTAATTGTTCTTGAAGGTCACATGGAGAGGCAATCGTATTGGAGATACTGAAAGGATATCAAGCATTTACTCAGGTAAATGCAACCAGATTCAAAGTGTCCATATGTTGTGCTGTGGCTGCTAATTGGCGATGTGTGGAATAAATGTGTCCCTGCTTTACACTTTTTACATTGCCACTTAAGCGTATGTTGTCTACCTATCCAGAAGAATTGACGGATATCCTTAAAATAAATTTATCAGGCATGTGGCGTTCTTCATGCTGTAGAACCCTTGAACTCTTTTCTTGCATCTCTTTGTAAATTTACCATCGTTTTGCCAACTGATGTGGAAAGGAAAAGGTACCTTGAAAATTTTGCTATATATAATATGAAGGTTACTTAATCAATGCAAGCCGGTTAAGTTTTTGTTATTAAATTTGTAATTTCAGCAGCGTCGTACAGTCGCCTGTGTCCAAACGTTCTGAAGTACATGTTGATCAGAAAGATGTCATTGTCCTGACACCCAAGAATGTTCAGGTATTTAATTGATATTCTCTATTCAGTGTTTCATTCTTTCATACATGCACATCTATAAAGAAAAAAAGTATTCTTTGCAGCTTACCCATTTATAATTATTTCGTTAAATGTACTTGGCTGACCTAGGACCGTCTGATTATTGTTCAGGCATTGAGAACACTCTTCAACATCGCTCACAGGTTGCATAACGTGTTGGGCCCATCATGGGTGTTGGTGAGTGTTTTGCTTCAAGTATGTTCAAGTAATCTATCTCATGATAACGGGAAATCCTAAATGAATACAGGTTCTTGAAACTCTGGCAGCCCTAGATCGAGCTATTCATTCTCCTCATGCAACCACCCAGGTAAATTTGGCAAAACCCCATGCAGGATTCTGTCTTTTTGCTTGTATAATACAACTTGATATTTATTATTGTTAGTTTATCACTTTATCTTTTTCTCTGATATCTGAATACTCTTACAAAGCTTTTAGAGGGCAATATAATATTATCTTTTACTTGTATAGGAGGTTGCAACTGCAGTCCCAAAGCTTACCAGAGAGCCTTCTAGGCAGTACGCTGATTTTAGCATTCTATCTTCCTTAAATTCTCAGGTAAGCCATATCAATTTTCTTCTATAGTCTATGCTCTTGGATTGCTCTTGTTAAATCACTTCTTGTAAACTGGATCCTGAAATTTCTGATTCTTGACTCATTGCTTTCATCTTGCCAGCTGTTTGAGAGCTCGGCGCTGATGCAAGTGTCTTCTGTTAAATCACTTCTTTCTGCACTCCATATGTTGTCCCATCAATCTATGACAGAAACTTCAGGCAGTGTTTCATCAGCTTCAAGTAAACAAATTGGGAGCATCAGTTTTTCGGTGGACAGAATGATATCTATACTCGTAAATAATCTTCACAGTATGTTCTTTATTGATTAATTAAGTACATCTTCATATTATAGTCTTTCTTTTCCATGCTATCGCCTTGTATATTGGTCCAGTCTCCGGTTTATTTTGTATATTGGTCATTCTGGTTTATCTTTGTATGCCAGGGGTGGAACCACTATGGGACCAAGTGGTTGGCCACTTTCTTGAGGTGACACTGCGTTCATAATTCTGTTTATTTGCAGGATATCCTGACATTGTTGTGGGCTTTACTGACACTTCAACTGCATATTGCAGCTCGCTGAACATTCAAATCAGAACTTGAGAAATATGGCGCTTGATGCCCTGGATCAATCCATATGTGCTGTCTTAGGTTCAGAGCAGTTTGGAGAAGATCCAGCCAGATCAAGAGATGCAACTTTGGATGTGAGATCTCTCTTCACTGTCCTTGCTTAAATTCGAGAGTTTTCCATCTCATGCAGAAAGTACCTTACTTTGATTATTCTTGTCTTCTCTATTTTTTGTTATTCTTCCTAGGTAGACTCAAAGTCAACTGAGGTGAAGTCGGTTGAGTGTGCTGTACTATCTTCTCTCAGGGTTCTTTACTTTTCTGCTCAAAAGGCAGATGTTCGAGTTGGGTCATTAAAAATTCTCCTTCACGTACTGGAGGTATATATAATACGATATGAACATTCAATTAAGCTTCGTTTACCTTTAATATCTAACATTTTGCTTCTGCATAAATCTTATATCATCAGAGATGTGGAGAAAAGTTATACTATAGCTGGTCGAGCATTCTTGAAATGTTGAGGTATGTTTCCTGCTTACTTTCCATTTTTTTTTCCACATATGTATAATTGAATTTTCCAGTCCATTTACTGATCCTATTCCTCACATATTCTCTTTAGGTCTGTTGCAGACGCATCAGAGAAGGATGTGGCGACCCTTGGGTTCCAGGTTAGTAAAGATGACTTCCTGTGGATTAGATAAAATTAGCAGTAGTGTACGGCCTTAGTCCATCGCTTACTTATGCCTTGTCACTGATACCTTGTTTGTTCTTCCCAGAGTCTCCGGGTTATTATGAGTGATGGACTTCCTACTCTTCCGGAAGACTGTCTTCATGTGTATGTTCCTATCGCAGTTTAAATTACTGTGTTTTCTTATTTTACCTGTTGATACTTAGCTGTCAGAGATGTCAACACATTTCCTTGTCTTTTTGGGATGGTAGTTAATGATGTTAATATCTCAGGTGCATAGACGTTACTGGAGCTTATAGTGCACAAAAGACTGATTTGAATATAAGTTTGACTGCCATTGGCCTGTTGTGGACTTTGACTGATTTCGTAGCAAAAGGACTCCACCATGGGTCTCTAGTGGACAAAGGATCGGGTAAATAACTGTCAAATCCTAGTCTGCACTTCTCACCTCAAGAGATGCTCTATATAAAATATTTAGTAAGCTGAGCTGTTCCTGCAGGATTCAATATTGCAGATTCCACTCCACAGCAAACAAATGGCGAGGACGGGGAAAAGCATATGGTTAGCAATTCGGACAAGTCAGATTATGAAGCTCGAATACAAGTGGTCAATCATGAGAAATTGCTGTTTTTAGTCTTTTCGTTAATACAGAAACTTGTGGATGACGAACGACCAGAGGTATTTTTCATACACCACCGTTGTCTTTTTTATGTGAATTTTTAATTTACTTTGAAAGTTGGGTGCCCCTGCCCCCATCAATCTTATATTTTTAATTGCTATTAAATTTTCCAGGTCAGGAATTCAGCTGTCAGGACATTTTTTCAGATTTTGGGAAGTCATGGAAACAAACTTTCAAAAAGCATGTGGGAGGATTGTCTATGGAACTATATCTTCCCGATGTTAGATGGCGCCTCTCACAAGGTGAGGAAAGTTGTTCAATAGATTCATCTTAGAAGACTCTTGTGACAAGTGAATCTTTTTTGTAGGCTGCAACATCATCAAAGGATGAATGGCAAGGGAAAGAAATCGGTACTCGAGGAGGGAAAGCTGTGCACATGCTTATACATCATAGGTGACAAAAAGAATTCTCGTCGTGTGGATATCTTCTGCATTGTCCATCTCTTTGTGATAGTTTTTGATGCCTGAAAACTTGTTTGCTTCAAAAGATTTTTACCAATTTTCCCACCATTGAACCTGCCATCCATTTCTGATATGCAGTCGCAATTCAGCCCAGAAGCAGTGGGATGAAACATTTGTACTTGTCCTTGGAGGAATAGCCCGTCTCTTCCGGTCCTACTTTCCTCTTCTTGAAAGTTTACCGAACTTTTGGTCAGGTGAGTGAATTGTAATAATCCTTGACTGCCCTGCAGTGCTTATTGTTTAGGAGAAACTGAAATGTCGTGAAACTTTCTGCTTATGTAGGATGGGAGTCTTTGCTTGCTTTTGTTAAGAATAGCATTTTCAATGGGAGTAAAGAGGTATCACTTGCAGCGATAAATTGTCTGCAGACAGCTGTTGTGTCCCACTGTGTCAAGGTAACAACGCAGCTATTTGAACAATCTATGAGCTACAATGGACATATTTCACTCTTTTAACTTTTTTTTTTTATGAACTAGGGAAACTTGCAACTTCGATATCTTAATTCGGTACTGGACGTGTATGAGCTTGTTTTCCAGAAGTCATCGAGTTACACAGGTGACACAGCAGCCAAGGTGAAACAAGAGATTCTGCATGGTTTAGGTAATTCAATTTTCAGTAGAGTCTCTACATTTTCGTAGTCTTTTCTGCTGACTTAGATGAACAATTTCAATGAATAGAAAAGGCTTTAAAAAATGTTCTTCTTAGCGTGACATAACTTTTGCAACATTTGGATCTTACTCTTTCCTTTTTCTTTCTCGTCCAATGTTTATACAGGTGAATTATATGTGCAGTCATCAAAGATGTTTGATGATAAAATGTACATGCAATTGTTGGGAATTGTTGATTTAGCTATAAAACAGGCCATCATAAATAGCGAAAATTTCGAAACTGAATATGTAAGTCTGTTCTCTAATTATTTATCATTTACCTTCTTCTTCCTCTCAAACACTCAGTTTCAAAACTTGGCTGCCTGCGTCCATCTTAAGCTTATTCTATTGATTATTTCAAGGGACATGTACCCCCTGTACTACGTCATGTTTTGGAAATCTTGCCATCTTTGGGTCCTCCTGAGCACCTTTCGTCAATGTGGCTAATCCTGTTAAGAGAGTTTTTGCATTATCTTCCACGGGTTGATTCTGTTCTGCCAAATGAGGAAGGTGAGATTCAGCAGAACAACACAGGTCACTGTGCAAGTAAGTACTTGATGTTAATTTACTCTCAACAAGTCTTAATCTAATATTCTTTTATCATTACACCCCAGGCAGTGAAGTATTGGAACATAAAGCTGATGCTTCGTCTGAAACAATGCCAACCACAAGAATTACGACTAATATGTTTGCAGAAAAGCTGATCCCTGCCTTGATAGAGCTTCTCCTTCAGGCTCCTGCAGTTGAAAAATATATCCTGTTTCCGGAAGTCATCCAGAACCTGAGAAGGTAAAGTCAACTCTCCCCTGCCTAGAATTGCAGAAAGAAAAAAGCTCTTAATTTTCAGTAGAGCGGTTGAGTTACCATGTCTATTTACCTTCCGTAGTGTCTGGGAGAAGTGTGTACAAAAAACTTATAGGATCATTTTGTTTTTCAGGTGCATGATGACAAGACGAGACAATCCAGATGGTTCACTCTGGAAGGTAGCAGCTGAGGGCTTCAACCGTTTACTGGTTGAAGATGTGAAGTTATGTTCCGTGGGTGGTGAAACAGACCTGAAAATTAGCAAAACAGCTCGAATACGCATTTGGAAAGAAATTGGAGATGTTTACGATATATTCCTTGTTGGTTATTGTGGACGTGCTCTTTCTTCAAATTCTCTCCCTGCTGCAGCACTTAAGGCCAATGAGACCCTTGAGATGGCCTTATTAAACGGTCTTGGCGATATCATTCTTAAGTCGACCGTTGATGCACCCCGAGAAGTGAGTAGCTTAGATTTCATGTAAAAAGTTCGATGTTATCCTAATGTCTGAGATTTTAATATGATGTGTCCATTTCTTGAACAAACAGGTCCTGGAGAGGCTTGTTTCAACCCTAGATCGCTGTGCATCACGTACATGCTCATTGCCTGTTGAAACTGTAGAGCTGATGCCTGCCCATTGTAGCAGATTTTCCTTGACATGCTTACAAAAATTGTTTTCCTTGAGCAGGTAATAACGTGTTGGGCATGTCATGTCCATGATTATAGCCTATTCCTTTACTTTCTTGATTGCTTCTTCTGCAAATACACTAGCATTTTATACTTGATAATGTGATAGCTCGTGCTCCACTTATGAGTCCCTCCTTGACTTTAGTTGTGTATTTTGCATCAAGCACATATAACAATATGCATACATATCATTCGGAGAGTCCTCAGGCGCATTGCCATTTCTGCTGCAGAAGATTAGGAATGTCCATGGATTGTGATTTGGTACCCATTCCTACTCCCTGTTAAACATACTAATATCAATTAAATTTTTAGTTTCAGCTCTGAAACCGAGAACTGGCACTCCACAAGAGCAGAAGTGAGCAAGATCTCGAACACCACGCTGATGGCCAGATGTGAATTCATTTTGAGTAGATTTTTAATCGACGAAAATAATCTAGGTAAGGGTCTCCATTTTCTGATCAACCCTAACATCTTCTTCGCTTGCCGTTCCTTAATCTGTGGTTATCTTTTGGCAGGCAACCGTCCAATCCCAACAGCTAGACTTGAAGAGATTATCTTTACCCTCCAAGAACTTGACCGCCTCAGCATTCATCCTGAAGTTGCATCTGTTCTTCCGTTGCAACCCTACCTGAAAACCGTCCTACGCGAAGATAATCGTGACACCCGTGCGCACCTACTTGTCCTTTTTCCCTCTCTGTGCGAGATTGTGTTATCAAGGTAATATAACTTCTTTCAATTACAGTTTTTTGTTCGAAGCACAAAAGGGTGACAACAAAATCTCTGTATGGTAACTAAAAAAAGACCCTATCAAGTTTTGATTTTTGAGAGTTTTGTTTTCACCAGGGAAACGCGGGTGAGAGAGCTGGTGCAAGTTTTACTACGAGCAGTTGCTACGGAACTAGGCCTAGAAAAGGTTAGTCTATCCAGTTGATGGCAATAGATGGGAATGTTTCTCAGAAGATTTGAACTTTAAACTTTCTCTTCTTACATTAGATTCTTGAGAAATTTTGGTTTTATACCACATAGGTTGTACTCTTTGTTTTAGCTTGTTCTGGTTTACTCTGTGTGCTGTTTTATCTCTCTTGGTTCATGGGACTTCTTCATTCTACAATGCGCCATTCTCGGAGTTTTTATGTTGGTCCCATCAAACAAAGTATTCTCTTAACTGATTCTGAGAACCACAGTTCGATCTGAGAACCATCCCAACCTGCTTTTATGTACTTGATCCATTTTTCGACGATGTTTGGTTAACTTGTTTATTTCATTCTGATCTTCTTGGATATTCGTTGAAATAAATTGGGTTTCAATGTAGCTTATACGCCTATTTTAATTAGGTAAAAGTAAAAACTTGAACATCTTATATACATCAACATATATACATTAAGTTAAGTTTATATAAACTTGCTTCTCAATACCAAGAAAGAAGAATTGTATTACTTTGACTGATTGATCCGAGCGGCGGCAGCGACAGAAGCAGCCACGCCGGTTGGGTAAGTAGTGAGATGAGGATCGTTTCTCATCTCTGCGCCTGTCACTCCCTCTGCGTCTTTTCTCGTTGCTGCTTTGTCCGACGGTAATTTGCTACTCGCTCCCTTTCAACGTCATTGTTTCCCAAAATTGGAAAAATCATTAGAACCCGAAAATGAAAATAAACAATATATTGGATTCAAGCATTTTATGTATCACGTGTTATGTGTTATTACTTACAGTGAGAACGTCGGCTAGCGTAGTCTTGGTATCGTCAGAGCCGACACGAGCATTAAGAGTGGCGGCTGATTGAGCTGAAGCCGCAACACCGCCGGGCATGATGTTGGTCCGCCCCGTGGCTCTAACCTCAGCCGCTTGAATGGCGGCTGCATCACTCCACTCCACCGGCTTATTCCCTGCCGTGAGAACCGCTGCCTCTAGAGCCTCTCCAATTGTTATGGTTCCTTCTGATTTCAGAGGATTAGCTACCACCTTTTTCTGGTTAACTTCTCCCTCCGCCTACAAATTCAACGCTCTTAAGTATTTTTTTTTTTTTTTTATTGTGTCAATAAGAAATACATATGCTATATGAAAGTTTAAATACGGATATTGACACAACGACAACACTAGCACAAACCACTAGATTATATAGTCACAAATCAACCTGTTTACCGGAGGCCTCGGCTACAACACTTTTCTCTTTGTCCTCCGCCGCTTTAATGCCTCTCTCCGTTGTCGAAATCTTCTCTGCCTCTCCTTTTACATCAGCACAATTTATAGGTTTCTGCAGCTGTTCTTCGCTCATATTTTTGGGTAAATCTTTCTCTCTTTCTTTTCTTTTTTTTCCTCTAGGCAATATTTATATTTGTAATTGTAAGAATTTATATAGTTTTTACATTAGCCATTCAATTCTGTGATTATCTTATACAATAACAAGAACGGCTCTCCTCGACTTTCTCTGATTTTCCCTCTTAATTTAGCCAATAACAATCAAACATGTAAAATCGGTTCGGTTTTCATTGAAACCGATCAATTTCACTTTGGTTAGAAAGATCAAACCGATAATTAAACCAGTTAATACTATCCGGTTTAGCTAACTCGATCAATCGGTTAGGGTATTTTAATTAGGGTTTCAAAGTTTCACTGAAAATCAATCACTTCTTCTTTCATTCTCAAAATCGTGAAAAAAAAAAAAAAAACTTCTTTCACTCGCCGCATCGTCGCCCGAACAAACTTACTTTGCTCACCGTTTCGCCGGAGTTTCGACAATCACAGGTTTTCTCTTCTCTCCCTGTTTCACATCTCACGACGGATCAAAATTTTGGTATTTAGGGATTTCAATTGAATTAGTGCTTGTTATCTGTTACTTTTCTTCTGTGGTTGAATCTGTGAAATCCATTTTTCGTGAGCTCTAAATTTGTGATTTAATCTACTAATTGGCTTAGTTTTGAGCTCTGTAATATCCATTTTTGAGAAAAAATCATTCAATTTCGTAATATCAATTGTTTCGGTTGATCAATAGAGAGAAGAAGGAGAATGAGTGAATTGACGGCGGAGGGCAGAGCTGTACTGATTGAAGGAGTTGGTTTGATACTTTGGCGATGGACTGCTATGCGAGCCGCTGTCGAAAACGGTTGGGGCGGCCGAGACTCTCAAGCGAAAGCTGATGGCACTGTTTCCACTGTTTTCAAATTTTTAATCCAATCACAAGGTTTAAAATCTAATTATCGATTATGTTTGTGTTCAATTGGTAGCATATAGAAAAAGATTAGAGTGTATTTGTTTCGGTTACTGAATGATGTTCAATGTAGTTTCAAATTGGTTTGATCATTGATTTTAATCTTACAAAAACTTGCAATGTTCGTCCAACGGGTGCGTTTCTGATGATGTGCAATCTGTTTCTTGTAGATCCAGCAAAGGACATTGAAACATTAGGTGACATTTTAGATAAAGGTCTTGATGAGCTTAATACTACGGCTGAAGATGGAAGCGTCGATGAGGTATTATATTTTGGAATTTTACGCCAATTTCTTGATTCTTTCTTCTTTTGGGTTCTGATAAGTTTTTCTTTGTAATGCCACTAAAGGTGGCAAACACTCTAATAGATTTGTATGAAGATTGCTGTAACCATAACTATGAAATGCTTGAGGAACTAAGGGCAACTAGATCTCAGGCGACTGCAAGTGTTGTCAAGGTTGGTTCTTTCTAGTTATCTTTGCTTCTTCCGATCTCTGTCTTGTAGCTTTCACATTCCTTAGTAATGAATCTGAGGTTGAGTCACCGATCGTAAAGCTCATGTCAAAGCAAGATATTGGCTGTGGTGAATAACACATATTAGATTCAGAGTATATTCTATCCAGAGTGTCTATTTGGTCATTGCTAGGGTACTTCCAAGTTTTCTACATCGGTTTGGTTATTGATCTAGCTAGGATTGTTTCTGAGAGTTGCATAAGTTTCTTATACTGATTTTGGTATTACAGGTTTCAAATGGTAACGATGAGGAAAGCGATGATGAAGATGAGGACAATGATCAAACCACAGACATGATGGTGGAGGCATCTAACCAGAAACCAGAAGTCATGCCGGTTGATGAACCAGCAGCCGATGATGGTTGGACGGTTGTTTCGTCTAGAAAAAACAAGGGAAAGAGGAATTAACAGGTTTTGATTCCCAAGGTGTTGTGTAATTTTTAACAGTTTTGTTTATTTTGATAATATTAAGATAGTATGACTTGTGTACCGTCGTCACTTTATAAATTAAAATCAGAAGATTGAGTTTCACATATGAATCTGCTTTGGATGCTTACTCATTGATCAAATCTTTGACTCCTAAAGAAAGACTATCATCTCCTCCAAAGCTTTGCTCGAGCTTGCAAGATCGAAAGCAAGGCTTCATCATCTGGATGATGAAAATTTCTCTAATTTTCAGCCAAGACTCATCATTTGATACTTTATACAATAAACAAGACCTCAGTATAATGACATGTTGCTAGCAACGAGAAAGACACTGTCATATGACTATTTTTATTTTAATGATTCAAAATGAAACTTAGTTTTGGATATGCAGATGATCTACGCAGTAACACCATACTGAAATATTGGTACCGAATCACGTCGCAACTCATTCTATTGGCAAATTCTCTCTTCATATTTGATGAAACGTTCTCCTCAGCTGGGAAAAATCATCTGCACACCATACCATAACTGGGATATCATTTAAACTAGGTTAGTAACCTCTTGCAGCTCCAATGAAGGCTAAGCCAATCCCGGTGTTACCAGCTGTTAGTTCAATCAATGTACTCTTTATATAAAACAACATTTCAGGTTATATACATATGTGAACTAGGAAAAGTCCCACGCGTTGCGTGGGTTCTATTTATATAATGGAATAAACAATACTCTATAACTAAATATATATTAATATCATAATATGATCCGCTATTTTAAAATTTTGTATTACAAAAATTTGTTGTTTCTAGCAAATATATTTGATGTCTTCCAAGACTACACACTTACCCAAACTATTTGATGTGTAATATTGAAAAGAGCATTTAACAAATTTATGGAAAAACATTTATTTTTCTTTGTAATATATATTTTTATTTCATTAATGGAAAGTAGTTATATATAAATAATCCTTTCAAATACCACCCCTAAGAAGTGTGATTCTTTGGTCTAATTTTCAACTAAAAGAGTATTCAAAGTCTCTCAAAACCAGTTTTCAGTATTTTTCTAGAAAAAATTTGTTAACTTTGAATAATAGTAGATTTGATATGGGTTTTATAAATTCTTTATTGAATAACAAGAGATTATATATTATTTGGAGTAATTTTACATAAATGTCTATTTCAATAACATGTGATTTAGGAAGAGATTTTGAAAATCCTTGTTCCAATACATCCCCCTAAATGTTGAGATATATTTAGGTTATTAATAAATGTTGAGAGGTTTAATTGTACTCGGAATTGTTCCATAATTTGCGAAAGAAAGAAGAAAGTCATCATGTTTTTTTTTCTTTCTTAACTATTTAATTTAATTGTATTTGGTTTATATTAGGTTTAATTCGGTTTAGTGTCTCAGTTAGCTGGTTTACCAAATAGTAAACCGATAAAACCAAGGCTTGTGGGCTAATAGATCTCAAACTATTAATATCGGAGAAATTTAGATATTAAACTTTCGTTTCAAGGATAAATAGCTCGTGGTCATAGATTGGGTTCTATCTGGCTTATTGCGAAAGTTCTCGTGGAAAAATAGCTCGTCTGTCCTAAACAGATATATGATTAATCATGATGTTTAACCACATGTTCATGATTAGTGCAAAACTATAGTTTCATATCATGTTTTAGAATTAATTGTATATATGATATATATAAAAATCTCATTGAACACCTAAAATAGAAAATAATATCATAATCATAAGCAAAAATAATCAAACTCAACATTACAGACTTGGATAGATATTTTATCTTACAACTTCCTTCTACAACGGTAAAACTAATAACTGATTCCCCCACCCTAGCTAGGATCCCTAACCAAACATATCCTATGAAAATCTTGTGCAAAAGGGATGGTTCATGAGTGCACCAATCCGCCACCTTGAACCAGGATCCCCAACCAAACATTTACTCATAAAAAAACTTGTGCTTCTTTAGATAATCAATCCGGTATATACGAAATGAGTTTATTACAACAATTGATTTATGACCCATTCCAAATTGTTTAAGAATGTTTTTTTTTTTATTAAAGAAATTATCTTTGAAAGAAAATAAATGATGTAAAATTTTGAATTAAATTTGAAATTCAAAATAACATGTTTGTTTTAGTTTTGCAATTAAACTTACATGAATCCAACCTAAATATAAAACTTAGTTAAATAGAAATGAATTCAATAAAAAAAAATTTTGGTGAGTTAAAAAAAATGCAATCGCTATGCTGTATCATCATACAATTGCTTCTTTAGACATTTTAATCCAAATAAAAATGGTTTTGATGAAATTGAAATGATACTCAGTTACACTTTGAGGGTTAAAAATGTGATTTTCCCATTAAAAACTGACCAGTCAAAATGAATATATAAAATTTGATATCTACCTTATCATATTAATTTGTTGTTAATCATTATACTTCACCTCTCATCTTTATGTGATTCTATTTTTGTGAAACAAATAAATCATCATATCATCAATGTAGTAAAAAAAAAAAATAGATTTTTCCGCATATGCCATGATTTGAATTTTTAAAAAAGAAAATAAATTGTTCTATCTATGAAAAAAAAAATGTAACGGTCAAAAAGTCAGACTTGGGTAATGGGTTAGAATTTAAATATTTTTATTCAATTTCATACACTTATTTTTTTGAAATGTATAATTTTATATACTACAATAAACTTTTTATATATTTTAATTTGGAACATTTAAAAATAGTTTTACTTGATATTTTTAAAGAATATCATCAATACTTAATAGATCAAAAGTTAAAAATTATAAATACTCTAATTTTTTAAAACAAATATATTTAAATATTTATAATAGGCGGCGGGTTAAATATAATATATTATAGGATAGAATGAGTTATGATCCTTATAACTATTTGAATATTTATATTTAATTTCATATAATTCTTTTTTGAAATTTATAATTTTATATACTACAATAAAAATATATATATATTTTAGTTTGGAACAATTAAAAATAATTTAATTTAATATTTTAAAGAATAACATAAATATTTAATAGATTAAAAAGTTAAAAATTATAAATACTCTAATTTGATTTTCTTAAACAGATATATTTAAAATATTTAGAGCAGACGGCGGGTTAAATGTAATATATTATATGATAAAATGAGTTATGATCGTTATAATAAATGACATGTTAAGATTATAAGATGAGATGAGCTAAATAAGGTTTGTAAGGTTTGACACCTCTTAATATTTGAAACTTTGATTCTGCAAGCAATATTTTCATTGGGACTCCACGCATGGGTTGAATTTGGTATTATTATTTTACCAAAAATGTGTTCATAACATATTCGATTATGCGAATTATTGTTAAATTCCGTAATTAGCTCAAACAAATCTTTATTTCAACAACTAATGAATTACAAATTGGAAAAAGGAAATTTTTAAATTAATTCAAAATAATAGCTAATTTCCTTATTTAATTCAAAATAATCTGCGTTTTAGATGAGATTCATTTATGATATTTTGATTTTTGATCTAGTTGAATCATATGCAATCTGATTTTGTGGTTGTTAACATAAATTAATTCATTGTTCATACAATATTAATGTTTTAAAATAGTATTATTTTTTCATTTTTATATCTTAAAACAATTATCCATAATTAAATATTACATACTAAGAAAAATATATTCATTCTAATATTATATATAGGGAGTAACAAAAAAATTAATATTTTTTTCACTTACTACTATAAGTCTATAATATATATGAAAACTTTATTCTAAAATATATAATATATAAATTTTTTACTAAATAAATTTAACCTGTACTGAAGTACGGATCATGATCTAGTTATATTTAACCTCAAACAGAAAGGCTAAAAACAGTCAAAACGTAACTTATAGAATATTAAATACATTATTGAATTGTCTTTAGATATTTTAACCACATCCACATGCTACAAATTTGTGGGTTTTTGGTATATGATTTTTGTTGATTTTGTTTTCTTTTAATTTGACTTTCTACTACTGAAGAAATTAATTGAGTTATGTCTTTAATTGAATATTTTAGTTTTATGTTAAAACTCGATTGAAGTTGTAAGAAAAAAAATGTGTTTATTTTTATTAATAAAAAAAAGTTATATATAGTATTGATGAATATTTTGTGGGTTTTCAAATATTAGAATATTCTATATATTTTTAATTAGTACATCATAAAATAAATTGGATTTTAGTTTTTACTTTAAATTATGTAAAAAGAACCGAAAAATTTAAAACGATATATATTTTATTTTTTGTTTTTAATGTTATGTGTTTTCCATGTATTAGAAAAGTTTAACTTAACATATTTACATTTTTCTATTGTGAAATTTGGAATTAAAAATCACTGAGGAATTGGTAAAAGATAGTAATCCCAGGTGTTAGTTGCAAATTTTTCAGGTGTTCGTCGCAAAATCAACATTATTTTATTACATAAATGCGACTTTATAATTAAATATGGATGATTTCAAAGTTAATTGCAAATTAGTGGATATTTTAAGACGCTTTTGACGATAGTTAAAACTGGTGGAAAGAATTTGTGGATGGATACCGTTGCTTTGTGGATGGATCGTGGAAAGAAAGTGATAAGTTCTCCGGTACAGGATGGTTCTGTACATCATCAAACGGAGAGCCGCCAACCATGGGAGCTGCAAATCTCCGTCGAAGTTTATCTCCATTACATACTGAGTTCGAGGCCCTTCTCTGGGCGATGAAGTGTATGATAGGTGCAGATAATCAAGAGGTAGAGTTCCTTACAGACTGTTCTGATCTGGTTAAGATGGTGTCTTCTCCAACCGAATGGCCGGCGTTTTCAGTGTACTTGGAGGAATTTCAGAGCGACAAGGAAGAATTCTCATCATTCTCTTTATCTTTAATTTCTCGCAATGCTAATGTAAAAGCGGATCATCTGGCACGAAAAATTCGTACAGAACCGCTTCATATCACATTTGTAAACAACATTCCACAGGAATGACTCTTTTGAGTTCTAATTAATTTCGGATGACAAAAAAAAAAAAAGATTTACTTGAATAATGAACAGATTCTAAGCCAATATGAGTCGCTAATAAGTCTCAATTTGAGATTATTTTGTGACTAAAACTTTTTAGTCGATGTCTAATCTTGAAACAGTCACAAATATGGGACTGTTTATAGATAATTTACTTTAGTCGTAAATTACCAACGTTTTAGCCTATGAATCTCGTGTAGCCGTAGAGTAGTCACAATACCATCCCAAATTTAGCGAAAAAAAACTGGTCACAAAATGTAGTCGCAAAGCGCATGTTTTCTTATAGTTTTCTGAATCTTTTTAACCAAAAAAAAAATGTTTTATGTCTTAAAAGTGCTCCATTGTGTTATTGAGTTTCCAAAAGTGCCTTATAGTGCAATATTCCCACTATAATAATCATGATGAATACTATAAATAAATACAAAAAATAAAAAATTTCACTTTTACAAAATATTTTAAAAAAATTTAATAACTAATAAGCATGAAAATAATAGAAAAAATGATAATAAAGTTATTTTATAATTATTTTTATGATTAATTTTTTGAGAGTCAAACTAATATTTTTCTTAAACTGTTTTCCAAATATTAATAAAATGACATCATTTTTGTTTTTGAGTCTTTCAAAAAGGCGATGTTTATGCGGAATTCACCATATATACGGCGTATAATCATCGTATATACAGACCATATAGCTTTTAACGTATTAAACAACTGTATAACCATAATATAATACAACTTCCCCATATACAGCGCATATACACCGTATTAATTTGTTTGTGTGTGTGTATATATATATATATGTGTGTATATATAACACTAATGACAAAATCTGTGATTATTGTAAAGATTGGATAATTATTTAAATGTGGTAAGAATTTCTCTAAAAAAACACGTCAGCATGGCAATTTCGTTAATAACATGTGATCATTATTTTTTAAGAATTTCTCTCAATTAATATATAAGGGATAAGATTATAGTGTATATGTATTTATAGTAAATATATATATTTTAATGCATATAGAGTAAAATATATGTATTTTATATTGTTATATATATTTACTATATATAGTGTAAAATATATGTAATAAAATATTTTATATATAGTAAAATATATAAAAATTAAATGAGAAATGGAAGAAATGAAGTTTCCTTTATTGAGCTTGGAATTAAATGGATAAATAATTTATCACTCCTTCCTCTATATAAGAAGGCCAAAAACTCTAACCGGGCTCAAGTTTATCAAAATACTGGTGAAAGAGAGCCAAGCCGCCGAAATATGGCAGAGACAACAAAGGAGGTGCCGAAATCTTCTCTATGGGGAGAGGTTGAGGTAGAAGTTGACATCAAAGCTCCTGCTACAAAATTCTACCATGTGTATGCAGGAAGAACAGACCATGTCGCTAAAGCAACTTCTAGCAAAGTGCAGGCTTGTGATCTGCTCGAAGGGGAATGGGGCACCGTAGGCAGTATTGTCAACTGGAACTACGTTTATGGTAATAACTTATGAATTTGTAATTAATTCTTTAAGATATCGTAGATATTTTGTGATTTTATTGGTGAACGTTTTGAGTGTAGCGGGGAAAGCAAAGGTGGCAAAAGAGAGAATCGAATTAGTGGAACCAGAGAAGAAACTAATAAAGTTTATGGTCATAGAAGGAGATGTTTTGGCCGTTTACAAGAACTTCATAATCACGATTCAGGTGACCCCGAAGGAAGGAGAGGTTGGAAGTGTGGTGAAATGGCATCTTGAGTACGAGAAAAATGATGAGAATGTGCCTGACCCTGAGAATTTTCTCCCTTTCTTAGCTGAGATGACCAAAGAGATTGACGAACACCTCTTATCCGAGGAATAGACACTCTTCTTGATATCTATTTGTCTTGCTTATGCTAGATTATGATGAAATAAATTTTATGGGTTTATTGGATGATGATATGTTTGGTGTTTGCATATTTGATGTCAAGTTTTATTTGCATACATGATTGCTTTCTTTTGGTTTAGTGCTTAAACTTTTTATTACTATGAAGCTATCGTTTTAACAAAATCTAGTCTATTTTAATAGACATTTATTACATTATAGAGAAATTTTTGCAATTGATACAAAAAATAAAGAAAGATATGGATGCAGTTGATTAAGATGTTGGAGCAAGTGGTGTAATTGCTGGCGTTGGCTGAAAGTTGCCAAAACAAAGTAGAGTCCTCCTTTGATTTGGTTTTGGTTTTTAGTAGAAAAACTCTATTAGGAATATTAATTATTAAGTCTAATAATTAGGGAGCGTTACTTGTGTTTTAATGACCTTTGAATCGCAAATTTTAAAAAAACTTTAAACAAACTTCGAAAAAAATCTTAATTATTTGAGAATTCAACATATTCAAGAAGATTTGGAAAACATGCATTTACTCAGATCAATATAATTCTCGTGTTACGATTCTTTCTATCAACGGTTACGTAGTGCGACTGTAATGACAAGTGTGAGGACAAATACATCTTGTGAATAGTCTTCCTTTTATTTGGTTTTGGTTTTTAGTCAATTTTATTGGGAGTTGTACTTATCAAGTCTTATAAACAGTAAGCGTTATTTGTGATTTTATGACATTTGAATCTTATATACTCTTTGCGTTTCACAAAAAATGTTGTTTTAAGGTTTTCATTTTTGTTTTACAAAAAATATCGTTTTGTGTTTTTAATGCAGTTTTTAATACTAATTTTTTTTATTCTTATTATATCAGTTTATTAACTAGAGAGAAAAACGGTTATAGTGTATTATCAAAGGGCATAAAATATTTTTTCACATTTTTCTTAATTTGTGTGAAAAGTAGTAGAATAACATTTTTTGTGAAACAGAGAATAATAAAAATTCTTAATGGATTTAAGAAGACTTGCTAATTAAACATGCATTCACTCAATTCAATATAATCTTCGTGTTGTCAATTATTCTGACTATCAGCGGTTAAGAAAACTATTTTTCTTTTCGATGACTATATAACACGACGTCTTGTGATTGTGAATAAAGACATGATAAACATTTTGTCTTCTCAAAACCCTTTCTTATGGAGTTAACAAAGCCCCAGGTTATTAATAGGGTAAATGTCATTTCGATGTTCAAAAAATCTCTAAATAGTAGATGAGCTAGCATTCGCAAACGACCTAACATCTATAGAAAAAGAAAGATTTTACATGGTGTCTAGGCATCAATTAATTATTTACTTGTTTTTTTTGTAAAATTGAAATTTAAAACAAAATTTAAAAATATGGAAAATATACCTCGTGAAAAGGCTTTCTTTCTAGATAAAAATCTATGGAGTTTTCACCTGTCTAAGTAGAAATCTTGTAAAGTTTTTCTCCTGAGAAAAGAAAACTAAAAATTCAAGCCTTAACAATTTCAAATAAATATATAAGCTCAAAAATCTTAAAACGTAAATTAAAGCATATAAATATGTACCAAGTATAAACTTTTTCTTATACAAGCACATCCATGTTAACAACCTACTCATTATTCGATTCAAATTTAATATCAATGGCAATATCATGCTCTTCATTAGAGTCAATATCCCCTCCACTTTGTTTGTCATTGTAAGACCACGATTTCTACGATGTTGCAAAACTGAATAATTGCAATAGATGATGATAAAAACTAGAAATAAAATACAACAACCGATACCAATATTTGATAAACAAAGAACGGTTTGTGCGGAGGCGAGACATTCTTTCCTTAATTCTTTAATTGCCCGTAGTGTGACGGTTTGATGTAATCAAATCCCAAGATACAACTGCACCATCTTCTGATTTGCAACACTCACAATCAGAAAGCTAACGAACTCTAGTAATGTGTGTACTCTCAGACTCGATAACTAGAGAAAAGAAGAAGATGGAAACTGTTGTGTATCTCATCGTTGCGGTCATGAGATGAAAAGACAAAGACCATGGCTATATAGCACAAGGCTCAACGTCTATAATGGAGCAATAAAGGTGAGAATGTTATTGTTATGAGAATGAATTATTTACATCAATGCCATTAACTCCAACACATTTAATTGTCGTGAATTAACTTTTGTTGTTAAACAATTCATAATTCACATTAAAGGAGATAATTATTGACTTAATCAACTTATACATATTTCGATAATTAACAATTATCATTTGGGTTATAAGCCCATTTCCCAAATCTCAAATTCCAAACCCGGTCCGGTTCGATACGAGACAACACGGCTCGGCACACATGCCTGGTTTGGATTTCTTCTTTAACTTCCGAAGTGCGACATTTGATCCTATAGTCAAAATTCAAGCTATCCAAGCTAGTCACTACGGACTTCCATTTCTCATTCAAACGAACTTCAATTTTGAAAGTTACCCGAAAAAATAGTCCACCGCAACTAATCAAAATAAACTCCAACAGTCATTTGGAGCGTAATATGTTCACCATCAGGCTCTTCATACATATATATGAAGTGGCTTTGTACAAATTATTCTTCTACGTTTCTTTCATATCCATCATCTAATAGCACATAAATATTTTTTGTATTTGAAATTGTTGTTGAACTATAGTAGTTGGCATTGAATTGAATATATACTAGACTATAAAGTTGACTAACATCTAGTAGATTTCTTATTTAAGTACGAATTCCCCTATATAAGCTGGTTTTAGACTCAAATTTATGTTCTAAGTTAAATTATACCAGATTTTTTTATGGGAAAGATGCACTTTGGTCATCGTAAGAAGTAGAAGATTTGGGATAATCCATTTTGGAAAATATCGATTCCGTTGGAAAGATATGAAGAGCTTATGGAATAGGAGAGAATGCGTATATAACATTGGAGCACATACAAGCATTCAAAGAGTATTTTAATATTGTTTTAGTAAATGCTCCACACTACACATGCTAACGTTTTCTATCGTTTGGTCGTTTAAACATCGATAAGCCTAATCCAAGCGAAAAAACTGGTTTTGATTATTGGACTATGGATTTTTGAGGTGACCTTAATTAGAAGAGATAGGTCGTAGCTGACAAATTTTTTCTAAAGTGTTCAGACTAAATTTTTACTCCCTCTGTTTCACAAAGAATGTTATTCTAGAGTTTTATTTTTATTTCACAATGAGTGTCGTTCTACATTTTTAATTTGATTTTTACACTAAATTTTCTCATTTACTCTTAACCCAAAGCTACTTTTCATTGAACTAGATGAATGTAGTCACGCTAGGCGTGACTTGTTACATTTTTATTGTAAACACGAATTTAAAATTTGAAATAAAAACTAAAAGAAAATTATGCTTTTAATATTATCACACATATTCTTCTATGATTACAGTGCACAATTTTTAACACCACTTATTTTTTAGTATTGTAAGAATTAAGTGGTACGACTCGAAATATTTTATAAATTATTTGTATATTGTAATAAAAAAACATATATCAAGAATAGTGTATTTTCTAGAAAGATCTAACACCTACTTACATTTTTTTATTAAGTCTAAGTTCTAATATCTTTAATTTTAAGAAAATTTAACTTATTTAGATTCAATCATAATTTTTGTGTACTTGATGCAAAGGAAAAACAGTTTTTCTTTTAACATGAATATCATACATTTTTCATTAAAGATACTCTTTCTCACATCCTTTTTACTAACATGATATTTAAACATTTGCTATTGATTATCTAACTGTTTTTATTAAATTAATTTTGTTGGAAAAAAATAATCTTTACCACAAACTTTGGAAAAATACTATAATGATATTCATATCACTACATGTTGGAACATATATTTGAGAAATGCTTTAAAAATTTTAATTTCAAAATGTTAAAATATCGAATAATGTTTTTTGTTTGAATAAATAGATAAAGAGAATAATCATACATCAATAGGGAAAAACGAAGATATATCATTTCAATTCGATTGAATTGTTGTGTGAATATTAGAATAGTTAGCTTTTAAACTTTCATAGATAAATCGGGAAACAGATAAATATTATAGTAAGAATTTTGAAAACTAAAAACGAAAGAAATATATTCTTGTAATGCGGTAGAAACAAAATAAAATGGAATACAATATAAACTACATATATACCATATAATCTCTAAAAATAAAATAAACGAAATAAAAATTGAATACAATGTAAACTACATATCACATAATCTTTAAAAATAAATATTTCAATCAAACTTTCATTATCACTATGACACAATTGTTTTTAACTTATGCAAGAACATAAAATAAAGTAAATTTACAAATTTGAAAAAATGGTGGAGAATGATAAGATAATTGATATTTATATATGAGAAGTGGTGAAACTCTTATAATTATTGAGTAAGAGTTACAAATTATTATTTATTATTATTTATTGGTAGAAGTTACAATTGAGTTTAAATGTAGAGTTTAAATTATAGTCAATATAATTTTCAAATAGTTAATGCATTTTAGTGGAGGAGTTACAAATGAATTTAAATGTGGAGTTTACATGAATTTTAAAGTGAGTTAATTAGAGATTAATATATTAAAGGTAAATTTAAGAAAATATAAAAAAAGTTAACGACCTTATAGATAGTCGGACGAACTTTTGGAATATTGATCTCTTAAAAGCGATCTTTGATCCAGAAGATGTTGCGCTAATAAGCGCCATACATGTGGGTGCGCCAACAAAAGAAGATTCTTTGGGTTGGCATTTTACAAAATCCGGACAATATACAGTCAAATCGGGCTATCATACAACACGGTTAGAAAAGTTGGAGACAAATTTAAATTTTTTTGGCCCTGATATCAATCCGTTAAAAGCACATTCTTGGAAAGTGCAGTGTCCACCTAAGATACGCCATTTCTTATGGCAAATCTTAGCAGGTTGTGTACCGGTTACGGAAAACTTGCGGAAACGAGGAATTGATTGTGACACGGGATGTGCTAGATGTGGCGCACCAGAGGAAACGATCAATCATACAATCTTTCAGTGCCACCCGTCGCGGCAGATTTGGGCGCTTTCAAAGATTCCTACGGCTATGGGGATTTTTCCCACGGAATCTAATTTTGCGAATTTGGATCACTTATTCTGGAGAATACCTTCGGAATTTGATTCATCAGCATTCCCATGGATTATTTGGTATATTTGGAAAGCAAGGAACGAAAAAATCTTTGAAAACATAGATACAGACCCCATAGAGGTATTACGATTAGCGGAAAAAGAGGCACAATTGTGGCAATCAGCTCAAGTTGACCTCCATAACGAAAATCATGGTTCTGTGGATTTGGTAAATCGAATTCGAGTGAGGGATGTTTCACTTGAATCGAATTATTCCGGATACCGTTGTTTTGTGGATGGATCATGGAAAGGAAGTGATAAGTTCTCCGGTACAGGGTGGTTCTGTACATCGTCAAATGGAGAGCCGCCAACCATGGGAGCTGCGAACCTCCGTAGAAGTCTATCTCCACTACATGCCGAAGTCGAGGCCCTTCTCTGGGCGATGAAGTGTATGATTGGTGCAGATAATCAAGAGGTAGCGTTCTTTACAGACTGTTCAGACCTGGTGAAGATGGTGTCTTCTCCAACCGAATGGCCGGCGTTTTCAGTGTATTTGGAGGAATTTCAGAGCGACAGGGAGGAGTTTTCATCTTTCTCTTTATCTTTAATTTCTCGTAGAGCTAATACTAAAGCGGATAATCTGGCACGAAAAGTTCGTACAGAACCGCTTCATATCACATATGTAAACAACATTCCTCAGGAATGGCTCTTTTGAGCTCTAATTAATTTTGGATGACAAAAAAAAAAGAAAATATAAAAAAAAAATGCCAAGTGGACCAATCATGGGAGAGTGAAACCCTACTTTTATATGTATGATTTAAATCATTAATCACTCAGTAAATAGGCATACATGTATAATTGAAGATTTTCTTAATTTTTGTGAAATGTGTCAAAATGACAATCATATAAATGAAAGTTGGCCAACTCTCTCTATATGAATGTCACATCATTAAATAATAAAATGACATGTGTCATTTTGCATTAATTAAATAAAAAAATTAACCAAATTAAGTGAAAAAATAAAAAATCCTCAATTGTATTAAATCCTCCATCAATACCACTCTTAATTGATTTCTTCAAAATAAAATAAAAAGCAAAAAATCATGTTAATATATCAAGCACTATTTAAATTTTTTTTATCAATGGTCATTACTCGATAATGACAAGTTTACAGTTTAGCTGTTTGCTACATATCTCTTTTTGTTTAGTATTTTACCTTGAATCTTTTATATGACATTCTTTCTTTTCATTTTCCTACATTTTGGTAACATTGACAATGACATGCAAGTTTTTTCATGGACTTTTGAGATATTAGACATATTAAAGATTTCACGATACGATAATTCTCTCCTACATATGCAAATACAAGGAGAGAGATCTAAAAATGTTCACCCAAATGACTCTTCAATATTTTGCTTTCTTTTTTCTCTTTCATATGAAAACTCTTGAAGCAAATGAATAGTTAGTTATACATATATTGTTTAAAATATGTCAATTTAGTATCTAATCATAAGCATATTATGATGTGCGTGGTTGGAGTACCAGACCACGAGAGAATACATAGAACAAGGAATTGTTTTTTTATAATCAAGTTAGGCAAGTTTCAAACTATATAAGTAACACTAGGTAAGAACCCGTGCCATGCATAGGTAAATCTTATGTTATTTAATTTTATAATAGAACGATTAAAGAAAAAAACTCAAAGTTTTATATTGAATCATGAGATGTAAAATCTAATTTTTGTAAATGCGTTAAAGATTTTAAATTAAAATAAGCTTATATAAATACCATGTAATAACACAATTTTTTAGTCAATAAATAAAACTAAAAATTAAATTTTAAAAATATTTCATGATTTATATCATACAAATAAAGTTGCATTTATATCTTTCATAAATTTAGACTTGTAGATTTGCAGCTTCAAGTTTTTAAAAATAATATATAAAACAATTTGTTGGTGAGAAAATGCATATACTATATTTTACATTATTTATGTTTTAAATTAAAAAACACAATGCATTTTATTTAAAAAATCTTTATATAGAAGTTTTCTTATTTGAAAGTTCGAAATATTTAATTTTGCTAAGTTTAGTTAATAAGAGTAAGTAGTATATGGAATTAAAATTGTTTGGCAAGATGGATAGTAGAAATAAAGAAATAAAAAATAAAAAAGATGAGAATAATTGTGGGTTTGACATATATGCACCAAAAAATCTACTTTTAATATATAGAGGAGAATTATATACCATTGTATCAATAGATCATATATTGTTGTTGTATGTATTTATGATAGTGAAAAAAATTAGAATCTTAGGTATATAGATAATTAGATTTATATATGAAAAAGGTATAATTGATATTTCGAGTCAAAAATGAATCCAACCATCAAAATTGTAATTACATAAATTAGCAACAAAAAACGGTCAGTGTAACTTATTTTTAACAATATTCAAAACAACAACCCACTCATAGCGTGGGTATTCACGTAGTTTTTATGAAAAGGAGGGAGTATAAGTGTATATGTGACATTTAAGGTTATCAACAAGTTTTATCAATAGCGTAAATGTGATGACTACCACATTTGATTACCTCCGGAAAAATGGCATTCAATTGGGAGCTCGAATATTAAGTACATATGTACCTACAAAAAAAAAAAAAGATTACTTCTAAATAAAACTTTAAATAAATTAATTAATTTTATATAGTTAAGTCTGTAATACTTTTTTTTTGTTAACTAAAATATATTTTTTTAAGTTTGTTCAACATTGTAGATGTTTTTTAGAATGAATAAAATTTTTGACACCCTTTCATTCTCTTGCCAAAATATTGTAGAAAAGTTTTCTTTAAGTTTGTTCAACTTTTTAGAATCTTTGAAAATTTGAAAAATTACTTTGTTCAATCATTTTTTTTTTAACCACTGGCACTTCACACAATGACAATGGTACAGAAAAATACTAATATTGTTTGCTGTTTATGTTGACGTTTTCATCGGCTGTACCATTCAAGCAGGTATTATTTCTTTGCGTGACAACTTAGACAAATTTCTAAAAGAATAATAAACATGGCAAAAGCATAAACTGATTCTTTTGGGATACAGCTTTGAAAATTTTCTAAAATATTATAAATGTATTAAAATATTTAAAAACCATGTCACATATATATGATTGAACAGTTTACTGGAGTTATTAATAAATTTTATCTATGGATCTGCTTTGATCATTTCTAGATAGTCGCTGGACTCCGAAACTATAATCTATACAACAAAAAAATATATTATCTATCATATAACCACTTATGGAGCCTATATGATTAAAGTTATCAAGTTTTATATCCAAAACCTATTGTGGAGCCTATATTGCTAATAAGGAGAGAAAAACAGTCGGTGAATGAATATGGCAGAGACGGTAGAGGCGATGCCCAATCCTTCTCTATTAGGAGAGCTTGAGGTAGAAGTTGAGATCAAAGCTCCCGCGGCGAAATTCTACCACATCTATGCAGGAAGACCACACCATGTGGCTAAAGCCACTCCTCGCAACGTTCAATCATGTGATCTCCACGATGGGGAATGGGGTACCGTAGGCAGCATCGTCTTTTGGAACTATGTTCATGGTAATCTCAAAGATATCCTAAATATTTTGTGAATATATAAGATTTGATGAAAAAAAAACGATTTGATACGTGAATGTTTTGGGTGTAGAGGGGCAAGCAAAGGTGGCAAAAGAGAGGATTGAATTAGTAGAGCCAGAGAAGAAACTGATAAAGTTTAGGGTCATTGAAGGCGATATTATGGCCGAGTACAAGAGTTTCTTGATCACGATTCAGGTGACCCCGAAGGAAGGAGGAGTTGGAAGTGTTGTGAAATGGCACCTTGAATACGAGAAGATTGATGAGAACGTGGCTCATCCGGAGAATCTCCTCCCTTTCTTTGCCGAGATGACCAGAGAGATCGACGAACACCTCTTATCCGAGGAATGAACAGACTCTTGGTGATATTTATATCTTGTGCTCTAGTTATAGATAAAGTTTATGCATTTGTTGCATGATGATCATATATTTGAGATTGCATATAGTTGACCACTTGACCTCAAGTTTTATTTTGTGAGTTGCAAATTCTAAGTTTATGCGTTTGTTGCATGATGATCATATGTTTGAGATTGCATATAGTTGACCTCAAGCAACTAATATCTATTTTGGTTAAATGTTATAAATAAAGTTTTCTCTTTACAAATATGAAAAATCTAATCGATTAAATAGAGAGTTTTAGATAAAGGAGGAACTTTGCAATTGCAATTGATACAAAAAATAGATAAAGATAAGAGTAATTGTTTGCGTTCATTATAAAAAAAGAAGAGTGTTGGCGTTGGCTGAAAGTGGGCAACCAAAGTATAGTCCTACTTTGATTTGGTTTAGGTACCTTCGCTAATATGAGGTCTAAATATAAAATAGTCGACAAAAACAAAATTCACCAAAAATATATCAGAAAAATTTAGTAACATCTGAAACGTAAGTATCACACCAAAATATTATAGTTATAGATAAAAGTTTATGCGTTTGTTGCATGATGATCATATGTTTTAGATTGCATATAGTTGACTTCAAGTTTTATTTTGTGAGTTGCAAATTCTAAGTTTGTGCGTTTGTTACATGATGATCATATCTTTGAGATTGCATAGTTGACTTCAAGCAACTAATATATATTGGTTAAATGTAATAAATGTATTTTTTTTCTTTACAAATATGAAAAATCTAATCGATTAAATAGAGAATTTTAGATAAAAGAGGAACTTTGCAATTGCAAATTGATATAAAAATAGTTAAAGATAGAGTAATTGTTGAGAATGTATAAACACAGACCAAACCAAAAATGTTCATTAGAAACATCAAACCAAAAGAGTCAATGGTTTTCCATGTAAATGATTCTGTTTTATCAAAGTTCATGTTTAATACCGGGGATTTGCAGTAGAAATATACAAATAGTTAATGAAAAACCACAATTATAATTATTCATCATCGAATATCTAAGTTATCTAGATTTTATAGTGACCAGTAGTAATCAAACTGTAATCTTGGTAGCAACATCTCTTACCAAACCAAACCGAATCATACGTCCCCCATAATCCAATTCATTCAATAGGCAAATTCTCTGCTTCATATCTAACCGAATCGAACAATTTAGTCGATAAATAACGTTCTCCTCCACTGGGAAAAACCACCTGCAAACCAAACAATAACCGGGATATTAACAAACCCGGTAATATTTCGGTTGAGTCAAAGCTTATGGTCAGTCAGAGTCAGAGAGACAGAGCTTACCGCAATGAGTTTTCCTGTGTTTTCTGGCCGCTTTGCAACCTTTAACGCAGCCGCTGCTGCGGCTCCAGAGGATATTCCCACCTGCCAAATGAGTGATCACATTTATCAGAAACTTCATTTTTGTTTTTGTCAAATTTCGGGTTTTTTACACCGAGAAAACAACGTTAACCGAGTATACCAATAATCCTTCTTTGAGGGCAAGAAGCTTGGCTGTTTCAATAGCTTCTTCACCTGTCACCTAATCAAAAGATTCCAGATCTTAGATTGTTTGTTCAAGACCAAGAAGTAGATCATCTCAGGCTTACTTACTTTAATAATTTCATCAACAATGGTTAAGTCCAAATTGAATGGGACGATACCAGAGCCTATTCCCTGGATCAAATGTGGACCTACAAATATGAAAACCCAAGAACCGATATTATGATTAGAAATGCAAGAACTCGGACGAGAGAATGATGATCTTGAAGATAACTTGGAGCATATGTTAATGTTATCACTATATATATGTACGTTGGATCTCATACCAAAGAACAACTCAATACTATATGTTGCATAAGATCTATCAAATTAATGTTCATTTTCTGACCTGGTTGACCTCCGCTCAGTACCGGACTTTCTACTGGTTCCACCACACAAACCTATATCAAGATTGTAACCGAATTATAAAGAAAAACCGATGTTTTCGTTGATTTCAAGAATTAGTAAAGTTTTTGAACCTTAATGTCTTTATTCTTCTCTTTAAGGAACTTCCCTACTCCAGTAGCTGTTCCACCAGTCCCTACACCAGCAACCAATATATCAACTTTCCCAGCTGAATCTCTCCATATTTCCGGTCCCGTGGTTCGGTAATGAATCTGCAAGATACAAACTTGAATTCAACCATAACAGAGAGACTCAAAGGATACATATATAATCTTGGTGGATGCATGATATTATATAAACCTCGGGGTTTGCAGGATTTTCAAACTGTTGTGGAATGTAACCACCAGGAGTTTTGCTTAATATCGCGTCGGTTTTCTCCAACATTCCTTTAAGGCCTATGCGCTGTTCTGAGAGATGAAGCTCTGCACCTAATGCCTTAAGGATGATTCTTCTCTCTAAACTCATAGTTGAGGGCATCACAAGGATCACTTTATATCCTCTTGCAGCTCCGACGCAGGCTAAACCAATCCCGGTGTTACCAGCTGTTGGCTCAATCAATGTACTCTATATAATCAAACAAAAACATTTAAATTCCATCGATAAAATTGGAAAGAATTATATGATAACTCTAAGTGTTTCTATTAACCTTTCCGGGAGTAATCAATCCTTTCTCTTCTGCATCTTTGATCATACTATACGCGATTCTATCTTTGACGCTAGAGAAAGGCTCCATCATCTCAAGCTTTGCAGCGATACGAGCCACGCAACCATCAACAACATTGTTCAGATACACCATTGGTGTGTTACCAATCAACTGCACAAACATATCAAATGATCTTACACATGTTCTTTGTTTCAAGAAAGCAAAGTGATACATTAGATATTAGAGATAGTTTACTTCAGTGATATCGTTCTTGATCAAGCACCGATCTTCCATGTTGTTCTGTTTTCTGAAACTCCTGAAAGATTTAATATTTGGCTACTGAAGATCAAAATAAAGTTATGAGTCCAATAACCCACAGAGTAAGATTCAAGAATCTAGACACACTTCGCAAAATATTCAATGGTCAAAATCTGCTTAAAGACTGTATTTATAATTCACAAGTAAGATTCAAGAACAAACTTGGTACTTGGAATTTTTAATTTGGAACCTCTAAGTAAACGAGAGACAACGACAAATTGAACAGAGAATAGTGAAAAATAGATAAAAATGATACAAAATTAGTTACATTGAACCCTACTTCGCATGTGGTGCACAGTGCACACTGAACGATGTTGAAGTATGAAGACGGGTTTGTGACATCTTGCATTAATAATGTTAACACAATCGCAAACGTAATTCTTACATTGGTTACCCGAGTAACGTGAATGTATTTTTGTTTTGCAGAAACACAATTAATTTTTTTGGATATTTGTTCCTTGTTTTGTTTTCCAAAAAGTAATGGACATAACATGTATGTCGCGAAAATCAGTTCAATAGCGAACAAATAGTGAATTAAATTCGATACAAAAACATTGAAAATTTAGTTTTAGTAGATTAATCATTTTATGTTTTATTTGATTTTTTGACATATTAGTAGTATATAGTAGAGTTATTTTTCTTAAACGTGAAAATTTAATAAATATTTTAAAGGTCAAAGAAAAAAACGAAATCACGCATTAAAAAAAAAAGTAAAACCGTTAAAAAGTGGTATTATTTATAGTAATTTTCACATAACACACCAATTTTTTGTTTCTTTTACCGTTTGTCAATTCAGTAACACTTCTCACAAAATAGCCACAAGGCGAAAATCGGACAGAAAATGCCTTCGTAAATAAACAGTTGTCGTTTAGTTTCATAACCCAACAGTTCTCATAAAAACTATGCATCTCTGTATTGATATAAAAGAATTAAATTAAACAAATTTGAGAAAAGAAAAGCAGAAAAAAATGAGATAAAGTGGAAGTGGAAAAGTTTTTCTTCTTCACCAAATTTTTTTTTTCGAAATTGGGGAGAAAACCAAATTCATTTTGTTTTCTCTAATTCTCTAATAGATTAAATAATCTTCGTTTGAGAGATAATCGAGTTACAATGGACGAAAGAACTCCGGCTATTATGGAGTAAAACTTGGGATATTTTGGAGGAGTATTATGGCTCTGATTTGATTTTCTTGAGATCTCCGGCGAGCAAAAGAGAAGGCTGAAGGTACATTGAACTATCTCTTACAATTGACTTACTAATATCAATTTGATGCAAGATAGTGTTAGAATTTGAAGTAGTATCAAATTGTATGCTTCATCCGCGAATAATATCAAACTTTAGTAAAATATATATGCATATCTCATGTGTATACCTCATATTCTCATGTGTATACCAATAGAAAAAGCAATGTCTTCAAGCATTGGCGAACGTAAAACGACTAACACATGGTGGATTATGCACAACCTCCAAGCTTGTTCCCACAACGGAGATCCACTGATATGGAGTTGGGTAATATGGAACATAAAGAGATCACCAATGGTGACAATTACGTTGAAATTTGGAATCATGTCCCAAAACATCTCACCGGCAGGCACATATACAAATAAAATACCGGTAAATGTTAAGAAACTGATAAAGTTTAGGGTCATTGAAGGAGATGTTATGGCCGAGTACAAGAGTTTCTTGATCACGATTCAGGTGACCCCGAAGGAAGGAGGAGTTGGAAGTGTTGTGAAATGGCACCTTGAATACGAGAAGATTGATGAGAACGTGGCTCATCCGGAGAATCTCCTCCCTTTCTTCGCCGAGATGACCAGAGAGATCGACGAACACCTCTTATCCGAGGAATGAACAGACTCTTGGTGATATTTATATCTTGTGCTCTAGTTATAGATAAAGTGGTAGCCCGAAGGGCCTAGCCGTTAACACGGTGGACAAGTCGGTGCGTTCCTACCGAGGGCGACCGGATAGCCGATAGGGTATATCAAAAAAAAAAAAAAAAAAAAGTTATAGATAAAGTTTACACTACAAGAAAACACGTCATTTGCGACCCCCATATTGGTTGCAAAACGGTCGCAAAATAGGGTTTTGCGACTCTTTCACGACTAACTAAGATAGTCGTTAAAAAACGGTCGCAAAATTTTCCAGTCCCAAGATAGTCGCTAATTTGCGACTCTTTTCCAACATAAATTGTAGCGTCGCATATTAACGACTAATCTGTGACGGGTTAATGTCGTTGTATATTTCCGACTAAAGAGCGACTAACGTAAGTTAGCAACTAGTTTGCGACTTGTTCGGTTCAAACGAAAGAGTTCTTGGATCGAATATTTAGTCCCACATTAGTCGCAGACGATATATCTTTTAGTACCAATTTAGTCGCAAAAGAGTCTTAATTATTTGCGACCAATTTAAGACTCTCATTGTTGTGTAGCAAAAGAGTCTTCTATTAGTAACCATTTTGATACTAGATTTGGAGTTTCTTGTAATAATGTGTAGTCACACATTGGTCACATTTGTTAATTAGTTTGGTCACATATTGGTTACACGTTAATAATCCCAAACCTGCAAATTCGCTTTCAAATGCACATAATCCCAAACCTGCAATACTTCATTCAAATGCAAATAATCCATCATTCAAAAACACTAATAAAAACCATCCTAACAAAGTATTATAGAGTACAAAAACATAAGCAAATAAAAGACTAGTTCATAGGGTTTGAATTAGTGTTAGATAAAAGGAGAGGCTGGTGTGGTTTCAGTAGGTGCGAGTCCAGCTGGTTGGATTGCTTCTTCTGTGGTTGTTGGAAGGGTGCCTGTTTGTGTGCTGGGTGGTATGATGACTGCTGGGTGGTATGATGACTGCGGTTGTTGGTGGTTGAGAAGCTACGGTGGCTGCTGCGGTTGCTTCTGGCTATTGAGTAGCCAATAATTCTGCAAAGGCAGGATCTTTGTTCCTCATGTAGGAGACCATCATCTCCAAGCTTGTGATATGACTTTGATCTTTGTGTCGCTCCTCGTCACGTCTAGCATTTTCTTGGTCCACTTCAGCAAGCTTACGACGAGCAGCTACAAGATCTTCTTGCATCTCTAACAGTGAAGACAAAGAAGAGCTTCCATAACTCTCTTTTCTCTTCCCATTTTTGATCGTCTCTTTCAGCTGTCCAAGTCGAAAGGGGTTTCCCTTATTATCTGTGAAAGTACACTAAACACAAAAACATTTTTAGCTGTAAAGAAAGAGAAGAGAAACTGTAAAACCAGAGAAGAGAAGAGAAAACATTCATTCTCATAAAGAAAGAGAAGAGAAACTGTAAAAAAAAATTCGATCAAAACAAAAGAGGATTATAAACATAGAAACTAGAATACAATTAAGTGTATACTCAAAACCAGAGATCAACATCAAGTAATCTCATTTTCTCTCAAACGTCAAAAAGAGCAATCAAAACTAGTCAATAAACATCAGCAAAATCAGACAAAGAACATAAGCAAAACCAGAAAATGAACATCAACAAAATCAGACATAACATGAGCAAAACCAGAAAATGAAATTCAGAAAACAAGACTCTCAACATCAGCAAACCAGACACTCAATATCATTAAACTAAAGTCGAAATTACCTTAAGAAATATGTCATCTTTAAAAACGAAGCTATGAAACAGTCACACTTTATCCATTGTCATTTGATATCACTGGTTACAACGAAGCCATCAATTACCCAGAACACTTTCATGAGTACCATACTCTAGATTTAGACTCGTAGCAGCTTGTTTTGAGCTCTTATAATCACATACCCAAAGACTCCAAATTTATGACCCAAAGCCTCCAAATTTTAAGACCCAAAGACTCCAAATTTTCAGCAATTGACGTCTTATCAAATCACTAGCTCCTCTCATATTCAAAATCGAATTCATCTTAACCCAGAAACGAAAGCATGAGTCTTATATTCAAAATCTGAAAAAGGGATAAATCTCAATCGAAATTGTCAAGCTCCAAAGACCAATACCAAGAGGAAACGAGAAGATGTTGTCTTACCATATAGTCTCACGATCAGGGATATCATGTTGACTCAACATTGGTAGATGTTGTCTTCCAGGAAGAACCATTAAAGCATCCAACAACTGCTGAAAGTCTTGTTGCTCATGATTCGGCTCCAGAGGCGGCGGTTGATGCTCCGGATATGGAGGAGGCGGCGGTTGATGATGGGGATTCTGGTACATTGGTTGTGAAGCTTGAGCCGCTGGTTGTGGCTGACGGAGAGGTCGTTGTTGAGACGATGAGAATGAAGCGAAAGAGAAGAAGAGAAGGAATCGATACAGGGAGAGAGAGATTGAAACCCTAGATCGAGAGAGAAGAAGAAGAATCGCAGAGTTAGAGAGAAAAAACCCTAGATCGAGAGAGAAAGAAGATCGAGAGAGAATGAAGAAAGTGAAAAGTCGAGTGTGTGTTTTGCCTAGTAATTAACGAAAAGGAGTCGCTCTTTAGTCGCAAAACAATCGCAACATCAATTATTTGGGGGGGAAAATTAAGCGCCCAAATACTTAGGGAAAATTTCATAAGATTTAACAAAAGTTGCAAAACAGTTGCAATATTCGTCGGAAAATGGTCACAAAACTTGTCGTAATTTAGTCACAATAAAGGTACAGGTCGCAATAATGTCACACAATAGTCGCAAACTGTGACTAAGTTGAGACAGACAATAAAAAGTCACAACACAAAAAATTCAAAATCTATGGATTTGATTCACTCTATTGATAGAAATCACTCATAAACACTCACTTTAGTAGCATAGAATACATGTATAAGTGTTAGGTTGGTCAAACCTGGCTTTCTCAACATATTTTATAAATTTTACAAAATTCCCTATCATGTTCATAAAGTAACATGATGAGTTCATATGGATTTAGAACTTTTGAATGTTTGGATTGTAAACATTGAATTTCAAGAGGTTGGTTGAGTCTTTTTTTACTAACTTCAATAAAATCAAAGTAGTAACATATAAGAAAACATGTAAACAAACTTCAATTTACAAATTTTGAATTGAAAATATCGAGCGTTGGTAATCAGTAGCAAAATAGTCGCTAATCTCAGGTGCTAGACGCGAAAGGGTCACAAAATAGTAAGCAAAATTTCTTAAAATATAACAAACATCGCAAAAGTCGCAAAACCGTTGCAATATTCGTCGGCAAATAGTCACAAAACCTGTCGTAATTTAGTCACAATATAGGTACAATCGCGAAAATGTCACAAACTAGTCGCAAAGTGTGACTAAGTTGAGACAGATAATGAGTAGTCACTATAGAAAAATACAAAAGTTTTGGATTTGATTCACTATACTGATAGAAATCACTAATAAACACTCACTTTAGTAGCATATAGTACATATATAAGTGTTAGGTTGATCAAACCTGGCCTTCTTAACTTATTTTAGAAATTTTACAAAATTCCCTATTATGTTCATAAAGAGACATGCTTAGTTCATATGGATTTGAAACTTTTGAATGTATGGATTGTAAACATTGAATTTCAAGAGGTTGGTTAAGTCTTTTCTAACTAACTTCAATAAAATCAAAGTAGTAATATATAAGAAAACATGTAAACAAACCTCAATTTACAAATTTCGAATTGAAAATATCGAGTGTTGGTAATATGTAGCAAAATAGTCACTAATCTCAGGTGCTAGACGCGAAAGGGTCACAACATCAGTCGTACAATGGTCACACAATATGTCGGATTATGGTCACAAACTTCAAATCTGATATTTTGAATGTTTAATATCGAGAGTTGTTAATATGTAACAAAGTGGTCGCTAAATCTCAGATAAATGTGATCGATTATCTTTGTTCGTCGCAAATATGTTGCAAAATTTGCGACCGTTTTGTGACCTTTAGTCAAATTGTAAAAAAAAAGAGTTCTATAGATAACAAGTCGCTAAGTGGTCTCAAAGTGTGACCTTGTTGCGACCAAAAATATTGAATCGGTAAACGGTCGGATAGTAGTCGCTTAATTGAGACTTTTGTCCGACTACTTATTTCCGTCGCTAATAAGCGACCAGTTTCCATCTGTTTCGTTTGTAGTTGTTTAACAGTCGCAAAACAGACACAAAGTAGTCGCGCTTTTTTGCGACCATAAAATTAGTCACAACAAAGAGTCCCAAATTGCAGGTTTTCTTGTAGTGTTATGCATTTGTTGCATGATGATCATATATTTGAGATTGCATATAGTTGACCACTTGACCTCAAGTTTTATTTTGTGAGTTGCAAATTCTAAGTTTATGCGTTTGTTGCATGATGATCATATGTTTGAGATTGCATATAGTTGACCTCAAGCAACTAATATCTATTTTGGTTAAATGTTATAAATAAAGTTTTCTCTTTACAAATATGAAAAATCTAATCGATTAAATAGAGAGTTTTAGATAAAAGAGGAACTTTGCAATTGCAATTGATACAAAAAATAGATAAAGATAAGAGTAATTGTTGGCGTTCATTATAAAAAAAGAAGAGTGTTGGCGTTGGCTGAAAGTGGGCAACCAAAGTATAGTCCTACTTTGATTTGGTTTAGGTACCTTCGCTAATATGAGGTCTAAATATAAAATAGTCGACAAAAACAAAATTCACCAAAAATATATCAGAAAAATTTAGTAACATCTGAAACGTAAGTATCACACCAAAATATTATAGTAGAGAATGTATAAACACAGACCAAACAAAAAATGTTCATTAGAAACATCAAACTAAAAGAGTCAATGGTTTTCCATGTAAATGATTCTGTTTTATTTAAGTTCATGTTTTATACCGGGGATTGTAGTAGAAATATACAAATAGTTAATGTAAAACCAAAAATTATAATTATTCATCATCGAATATGTAAATTATCTAGATTTTACAGTGATCAGTAATAATCAAACTGTAATCTTGGTACTAACATCTCTTACCAAACCAAACCGAATCATACGTCCCCCATAATCCAATTCATTCAATACTCAATAGGCAAATTCTCTGCTTCATATCTAACCGAATCGAACAATTTAGTCGATAAATAACGTTCTCCCCCACTGGGAAAAACCACCTGCAAACCAAACAATAACCAGGATATTTAACAAACCCGGTATTATTTCGGTTAAGTTAAAGCTTATGGTCAGTCAGAGTCGGAGACAGAGCTTACCGCAATGAGTTTTCCTGTGTTTTCTGGCCGCTTTGCAACCTTTAACGCAGCCGCTGCTGCGGCTCCAGAGGATATTCCCACCTGCCAAATGAGTGATCACATTTATCAGAAACTTCATTTTTGTTTTTGTCAAATTTCGGGTTTATTACACCGAGAAAACAGCGTTAACCGAGTATACCAATAATCCTTCTTTGAGGGCAAGAAGCTTGGCTGTTTCAATAGCTTCTTCACCTGTCACCTAAATCAAAAGATTCCAGATCTTAGATTGTTTGTTCAAGACCAAGAAGTAGATCATCTCAGGCTTACTTACTTTAATAATTTCATCAACAATGGTTAAGTCCAAATTGAATGGGACGATACCAGAGCCAATTCCCTGGATCAAATGTGGACCTACAAATATGAAATCCCAAGAACCGATATTATGATTAGAAAATGCAAGAACTCGGACGAGAGAATGATGATCTTTAATACCAAACAACAACTCAATAATATATGTTGCATAAGATCTATCAAATGTTCATTTTCTGACCTGGTTGACCTCCGCTCAGTACCGGACTTTCTACTGGTTCCACAACACAAACCTATAGATCAAGATTGTAACCGAATTATAGAAAAAAAAACGATGTGTTTGGCTGTTTTCAAGAATTAGTATAAGTTTTTGAACCTTAATATCTTTATTCTTCTCCTTGAGGAACTTCCCTACTCCAGTAGCTGTTCCACCAGTCCCTACACCAGCAACCAATATATCAACTTTCCCAGCTGAATCTCTCCATATTTCCGGTCCCGTGGTTTGGTAATGAATCTGCAAGATACAAACTTGTGTTCAATGATATCATAGAGAGACTCAAAGCATATACATAATTGTGTTGGAGCATCATATAATATAAACCTCGGGGTTTGCAGGATTTTCAAACTGCTGTGGAATGTAACCACCAGGAGTTTTGCTTAATATCGCTTCGGTTTTCTCCAACATTCCTTTAAGGCCTATGCGTATGTCTGAGAGATGAAGCTCTGCACCTAATGCCTTAAGGATGATTCTTCTCTCTAAACTCATAGTTGAAGGCATCACAAGGATCACTTTATAGCCTCTTGCAGCTCCGACACAGGCTAAACCAATCCCGGTGTTACCAGCCGTTGGCTCAATCAATGTACTCTATATAATCAATAAAAAAAATTACATCCCATCTATGAAATTGGAGAAAATTATATGATAACCTTAAATGTTTCTATTAACCTTTCCGGGAGTAATCAATCCTTTCTCTTCTGCATCTTTGATCATACTATACGCGATTCTGTCTTTGACGCTAGAGCAAGGCTCCATCATCTCAAGCTTGGCAGCGATACGAGCCACGCAACCATCAACAACATTGTTCAGATACACCATTGGTGTGTTACCAATCAACTGCACAAACACATCAAATGATCTTACACATGTTCTTTCGTTTCAAAAAAGTAAAGTGATACATAAGAACTTAGAGATTTTTACTTCAGTGACATCGTTCTTGATCAAACACCGATCTTCCATGTTGTTCTGTTTTCTGAAACTACTCAAAATTTAATACTTGGCTACAAGGATTATGGAGTCCAATAAGGTAATAACCATAGAAGAGGTAAAGAGATTATGTCCATAGTATGAGATTCAAGAATCTAGACACAATCCGCAAAATACTCAATGGTCAAAGTCAAATTAAAGGCTCTATTTACCAATTCACAGGATTCATGAACAAACTTGGCACTTGGGATCAAGAAAGGGTAAGAAAACAGAACAAAGAACAGTGAAAACTGAAAACAAGATAATGTATATATCAAAAATCAAGAAATGGTAGTTATAAATCACAGTTCTCTAAACAAATCTAACAGAGCAACAACCAAAACCAAAAAGAGTCGTACCTTGATGAAGTTTAAACGAATCAATTAGCTAGTTAGTGAAGAAGAAGAATTTTTTTTTTAAACGATTAAGTACAAATCAAAGACCAGGCTGTATTATAGATTAATATATATATATATATATATATATATATATATAGAGAGAGAGAGAGAGAGAGAGAGAGAGAGAGAGAGAGAGACTACCCTACTTTGCATGTGGTGCACTGAACGATGTTTAAGTATGAAGACGAGTTTGTGTCATCATATTAACATCTAAAAGTTTTTGTCATATTGTGTAATGTGAAAATAACGTCCATTGTTTGTTTGTTTTTTTAAATATGAAGGTAACATTTAACATTTTATTTAAAAGATTTAAGAGCATTATGGTCCTTTTCTCTAATTATCTTACTAATCATGTGTTGTCCGGATAGGCCTATGACGAACGATCGAATAATATTACAACAAGTCGTCACAGATCAAATTTTTGTAACCACATGCTTTTTTTCTTTTCTTTTTTTGACGAAAAAGCATATAATTAGTACGTAACACATCAGTCTTTTTTTTTAACCACATGCTTTTCTTAACACAAATCAAATTTTCATAACCACATGCATTTTCATTTTTCTAGAATATAATATGTCGTTATAGTAAGTTAGTAAGCACAATTTGCAAACGTAATCCTTGCATTGGTTGCCCAAATTACGTGAACTTGCAGAAACGTTTTTGGTCAAATGTTTAAATGTGATTAATTTATGGGAATTTTGCCAAATGTACCACAATTTTAGAAATTCCTAGCAAATGTACCACATTGCAAATCGATTTAGCATCCATACCACTTTTGGTGTTTGTGTGGTAGAGGTTGGACGATTTTACCCTTCTGCCTGCGTTAGGAATGTGTCAGGGGAAAGAGCTACAGTAAGACGTCGTTTTGTCTCCAGATCTTGTCCCCGATTGAAAATTCTCTGTTGCGTCTAGATCTTGTCCCCGATTTCATCATCTTGCTCTATTATCATGAATCCCAGATGATATGGTTTTACCAGCCTGCAGAGATCTAGATTTACTCGGGGACAACATCTCTTAATTATCCATCGCCAGATGATGTGGTTTTACTAGCCAGATATCTGGATTAACTCGGGGACAACTTGATCTTTATTTTATTCTGCCAGAGAGCCGAAAACGAAGATCTGGATTTACTCGGGGACAACTTTGTTTTACCAGACAGAGGGACGAAAACGGTTACCAATGCGCAGGAGAGAGAAAAAGGACAGCATAAATTTCGGAAGGTGTCCCTTTCTCTGACACACACTTCTCTCTCCATCAAGGGCAATTTCGTCCGGCTTTAGGCATGTGGCATTGAAATGTGGTACATTTCAAAAGCTTTTCCCAAATGTGGTACTGGGCCTAAACTTTCTCTGAAAAGTGGTACCCAATCTAATTTTCCCTTAATTTATTATTATTTTTGTTTTTTTTGCACAAACACATTTAAACATGTTCTTGAAATGTAGCCAAGAAAAAGGCAGCCAAAATGTCTTCTCAGATAACGAAAAACAAAAAAACAAAAAACAAAATCTATACACAGAAGAAGACTCTTGTTGTTGTGGAGGGTCTTGGTATGTGTTTAATGAAGAAGACTTGGTACACGTGAATTAGGGATTAAACCGGGTTCGGTTACGGATTTATTGAAGACCGTTAGTGAGCTCCCAGAGTTAGTTAGAAGCTCTGCATCAAAACAGAGCTATAAGCTCTCTACTTCTCTCTCTTTTGTAACTCTCCAAAAAACACAATGATAGTTAATTGGTAAGGCCAAGCCTTGCTGAAACGTAACTTAGATCGATTTGATCATATGGAACTCAAAAACGTAATTGTATCTCATTTTCAATTCATTTACAAATAGGAGCCATATATAAGAGGTGTAAGATTTGACGGTTGATTGTGAAAGTCTAGTGTTCGGATTATCGGCTCAAAATCGCAACAATATGAGAAAATTGTTAATGAACAACTTATAATTGATCATCATGGAATAAGTAACTCTTATTGATTTTACAATAATCAAACTGTAATCTTGGTACCAACATCTCTTATTGAATCCTACGTTACTACTTATTCAACTGGCAAATTCTCAGCTTCATATCTGACTGACTCAAACAATTCAGTCGATAAATAACGTTCTCCTCCACTGGGAAAAATAACCTACAAACCATACGATAATCGGTATATTCAATAATCCGGTTTTGATTTCGATACAGTAAAAGCTTATGGTCACTCTAAGTTAGAGACAAAGCTTACCACAATGAGTTTCCCTGCGTTTTCTGGCCGCTTTGCAACCTTTAACGCAGCCGCTGCTGAAGCTCCAGAGGATATTCCAACCTGCCAGATGAATGATCGCATTTATCAAAAACTCCGGTTTTTAGTTTCTTGTTTGTACGGACAAAAGAATGTTAAAACCAATTGTACCAATAATCCTTCTTTGAGAGCAAGAAGCTTGGCTGTTTCAATAGCTTCCTCACCTGTCACCTAAAATTAAAAGATTGCATATCTCAGAATATTGTTACACGATTGAGATGTCGATAATCTTAGCTACTTACTTGAATGATTTCATCAACAATGCTCAAGTCCAAATTGGTTGGAATTTCACCAGAGCCAATTCCTTGGATCAAATGTGGACCTACAAAGATGTAATCATCAATTATGGTTAGAGATAATCAAGTACTCTAAGAAAATAATTTTGTTTATTTCGTCACCTGGTTCTCCTCCGCTGAGTACCGCACTTTCGGCAGGTTCCACCACACAAACCTATTGATCAAGATTGTAAAGAAATTATGTTAAAAAAATCTGATTTCTTAAGGTTGTTTTCAAGACTTAGTAAACTTTTTGAACCTTAATGTCTTTGTTCTTTTCTTTAAGGAACTTCCCTGTTCCAGTAACCGTTCCACCAGTTCCAACACCGGCTACCAAGATATCTACTTTCCCTGCTGAATCTCTCCAAATCTCCGGACCCGTGGTTCTGTAATGAATCTGCTAGAAACAAATCACAAGAGTGAGTGAGAAATTCAAATAATATAGAATTGTGATGGAAGCATGATAGTATATAACCTCGGGGTTTTCAGGATTTATAAACTGGTGTGGTATGTAACCACCAGGAGTTTTGCTTAATATCTCTTTAGCTTTCTCCAACTGTCCTTTAATCCCTATGCTCATATCTGTGAGATAAACCTCTGCACCTAATGCTCTCATAATGATTCTCCTCTCTAAGCTCATAGTTGCAGGCATCAAAAGAATCACTTTATAACCTCTTGAAGCCCCGATGCTGGCTAAACCAATCCCGGTGTTACCACCCGTTGCCTCAATCAATGTACTCTAAAACAAAAAACAATAAAACAAAAAAATTATTCCATAAGGATTCTAATGGACTATGGAGAGATTATACAGGTTTTCGACCAGGGCGTGCAACCTAGTGGTTACCACCATGTCATAACTCGAAGAGTGTGTGTGTAAGTTGTAAACGATAAAAGAAAAAGAAAAAGAAAAAACACTAGGCTTCAAGCCTCGGTCAGTGATTTTGAAACTGTTGTCTATTAACCTTTCCGGGAGTAATCAATCCTTTGTCTTCTGCATCTTTGATCATACTATACGCGATTCTGTCTTTGATGCTAGAGCAAGGCTCCATCATCTCAAGCTTGGCAGCAATACGGGCAACGCAACCATCAACAATTTTATTTAGATACACCATTGGTGTGTTACCAATCAACTGCGCAAAATGCACAACCATATATAAGTAACAACACAAGCAAAGGATTTCAAACATGTTTTTTAATCCAAGAAAGCTAATTGATATAGAAGAAATTAGAGATTTTTACTTCAGTGACATCGTTCTTGATCAAAGAAATTCTGTCTTCCATGTTGGTCTGTCTTTGAAGCTCCTTCATATTTAATATACTGGTACAAGAAAAAAAAAAAACAAAAATTGATACCAAAATCAGAAAATGGTAGTAAGAAACAAATCAAAAGTAGGACGAACAAGGCAGAACTATATTATCTTTTCTTATGGATGAATGGAGAAACAAGAAAGAACCAAAAAAACGTAGTACCTATAGAGTTTAATCAATGAAGAAGAGACAAAAGACCGCTAAATCTAAAACCATACCATGCTATATATATAGACACAGACATATAGATATTGTATATAGATTAGTATTGAGTGGTTGTACGATTGAATACATATTATCTAAATTGTTATATTTTTTGGGATGAAAAAAAAACAAAACACTCTCAAACAAACCAAATCTTGTTGTAAGATATTCATTAATTAAAACTTTTGACCTTACTAACAAAGACGACAACATTGCATATTGTGGTTAAACATTTTCTAGTAATATATAGTACAAAACTACAAACAAACAAACGTAATGTATATCTAAAAGTTGCAATAAACAAAATCAATGAGATTATGGAGTTTAACATGTACAAACCACTAAACAACAAGTTCTGGTCGGTAGTTTATAATTTAGGATTAGGGTTTAGGGTTTACATGATGTATCGTTATTCGTTTTTTCATTCAAGAATCAATTATGAGTTTACCATTTTTTGGAGTGGTATTTGTGGATTTGCCATTTTGGTATTTTCTCTAAAATCTTATGAATTTGTCTTCTTTCAGACTATAAAAATACGATTTAACATACTATAAAAAATCGTAAATTTGAACTTTTCAAATGTTTAAAAATGGCAAATCTATAAAATTTTAGAAAAAATGGCAAAATCCATAAATGCCAGTAAAAAAGATGGCAAAATCTGTAATGATCCTTTATTTAAATAGAGGCCATGATTTCTATGGTATAGTGGAGGCGTTTGTGATGGCAATAGCAGCCGTGGTGGGGACAAAGGTGATGGTTGCGACCACCGTGGAAGTGGTTGTGACGATGATTTTTTTTCTTATCGTAAACTTTAAATGTATAATTATGTTTGTTTGTATGGCTACAATGTATTAGCACTTGCTTGATAAAAGTAAAATGTACTAACACTTGGTATTTGGTAAGGTTTTCGAATTCATTTAGCTTTAGTTTCAGAAGACAGTAACTCTAAAATGCAGTTCAATTTTGTACCAAGTACTATATTCTTATCTCTAAAAAGATTATTTCGAGTATATTTTAAATATGTTCAATTATAATTACATTTTAATAAGGGCAATTCTTATAAATAATACAAAAATAAGTTCTGTTTCCAAATTTAGCACATCATCTCCAAAATTCCAAAAATAACACAAATTTACTATAAAAAATATTCTTAACTTTGGGAGCGATTTAAAACAATGTCAAAATCTCCTAAAACCAAAACCCTAAATACTAAACACAGACCCAAAACTTTTAAATTATAAACTCTTAATTAGTGTTTGTGGTATTTTTGGACTAAAAAATTGGTAGTTGTATTTTTGAAACAAAAAAACTAATGATAATAATTTTGAAACAAAAACTTAGTTTAGTGGTATTTTAGAGTATCTTTCTTGATATTATTATTTTATAATTGTGTCAACTAATGCTATTTTGGGAAGTTTGTGGATTGTGTGCTATAAGTGTCCACAAAACTTGTTTTAGTGCTATTTTATGGTATTTCTCTTTTAATAATTTTAGTATTTAGTGTTTAGTTTTTAGGCAAGTTTAACATTATTTTAAAATGCCTCCCAAAGTTAAGAATAATTTTTTATATTAAATTTATGTTACTTTTGGAACTTTGGAGATGATGTGCTTGATTTGGAAACAAAACTTATTTTTGTGTACATGAGAACTACCCTATTTTAGGGTATCTCTCTTTTAATAAATTTTTTTCTTTACTGAATTTATGAATTATACATAGTTACAATATTAGCTAATTAACATTTTATATAAAATAAGTTATACTACACACAAACGTAGAAAAATAAAAATTATATATATATATATATATATATATATATTTTTTTTTTGCCAACCTCACATTAATTAATAAAGAACTCCTTGATTGGTTGCCCAATTAGGAGGATAAGTGTCTACAAAAGAAACTTCAGAAAATAAAAGTCTAGAAGAACGGGCTAAGCAGTCCGCTTTAACATTAATTAAACGGGGAATAAGAGAGAGCGAGAAGAAGGGGAAAGAGACACGGAGAAAACCAAACTCGTCTAGTAGATTGGAGAAAGCGGGCCAAGCATCAGGGGACTGTATCATCGAGACTAACTCCGAGCAATCTGTTTCAAACGCCTGACAATCTATCCTTCTTGAAAGGATATTCTTCGTAGCCCAAATTAAAGCTTCCATCTCCGAGTGAAGGGGGGAAGGACACCTCCATAGGCACTTTGCACCGAACAGTATCGATTGATCATTTCCTTGAAAACAACACCATCCTAAACCCATAGTTGGATCCGAAGTTTTCCAAGAGCCATCAAACCGACATCTTATCGATTGAACTGGGCATTCCAAAGTTTCTGTAATAGAACTAGTTTCGATCGGATCCACCTGAGCTTCTTCCCACATTAATTTTTCACTCAAAGCAAGATTTAAAATATCTGTGGGTTCAGATTGTAATCCCTTGAATACCTTTTTATTCCTATCTTTCCATATGAACCACAAAATCCAAGCATAACTATATGTTTTTCTCCCCTTTCTAGACTAGATGGAAGTCTCCAATAAAGATAATCTAGATTTGAGAATTCCGAGGTTAGAGGAAAACTACCTGATACCATAGGTATATCGGATAAGTCTCATACTTTCTGAGAATGAATGCACTCAAATAAAGCATGATTTATTGTTTCCTCTGCCATCTCACACCTTTTACAGAGAATATCACATCGAATCCCTCGGTGTGCTAATTTTGAATTAACTGCTAAGGATCCCGAAGCAATTTGCCATAAGAAATGTTATATTTTTGGAAGGGTTTTGACTTTCCAAGCTTGTGCTTGTAGAGCCTTATAATTTGGGCCCCATTCGATCGTTTCTATCATCTCTTTAGCAACCCGATAGCCTGACTTTACTGTATATCTTCGTGATTTTGTATGATGCCAGATAAGCCTATCTGGCTTAGAAACTCGGCTAATAGTCAGTCCCCTAATAAGCTGAATATCCACTGGATCCATATATTCTTGTAAAATGGGAAGGTGCCATTCTTTAGTAACCGGATTAATTAAATGGTTAACCATCAAACTTGGAAGTAATAAATTTCCTCTTCCATTTGCAGGCCTTGGGTTAACATCAGGAATCCAAGGATCTCGCCATACCGATATATTGAAACCCGATCCTAATGACCATCTAGCTCCCACTTCAACTAATCTTTTAGTTGAAAAAATACTCTTCCATCCAAATGATGGAGAATTTGGTTTTCTTGCCTGTAAAGGATGAATATTCCTGGAGTATCTACCTTTTAGCACCCGAGCTACTAAAGAATTCGGATATTGAATTAAGCGCCAGTACTGTTTAGCCAACATGGCATCATTAAAAATGTCTAGGGAATGAAAACCTAAGCCTCCATCTTCTTTATCCTTACACATTTTCTCCCATGCTATCCAATGAATCCCACGATCACGCCCATTGGAACTCCACCAATAATTAGAAATAGCACTTGTTAACTTAGAAGTTAACTCTTGAGGGAGTTTAAAACAAGACATAACATAGGTTGGGAGTGCCAAAGCCACTGATTTGATCATCGTCTCCTTCCCACCTTTCGACAAAAATTTTGCTGACCAGCCATTAATCCGTTCATTAAGTCTTTCCCGGACATAATTAAAGATTTTACTTTTTGAGCCTCCTAAACTCTCTGGTATACCCAAATATGTACCCATGCCACCTTCCTTAGTTATTCCAAGGATGTTTTTAAGTTGATCTCTTTTTTGGTTTGCTACACGCTTACCAAACATAACCGATGATTTACTGAGATTTATCTCTTGTCCTGAAGCTTTACCATAATTCTCAATAATATCCATCACCGTTTTGCATTGCTCTGAATCCGCTTTACAGAAAAAGAGACTATCATCCGCAAAGAGCAGATGTGAAATTGTTGGGCTTCTTTTCGCTATCTTAATTCTGGTCAGCTTTTTTTCTTTTTTCGCCTTGTTAATATTTGCAATCAGTACCTCCGTACATAAAATAAACAAATAAGGCGATAAAGGATCACCTTTCCGTAAACCTCTGCTAGGAATGATATTTCCTCTAGGTTCCCCATTCAATAAAACCTGGTACGAGACCGAGCTAACACTCCACATGATCCAAGAAACCCAATTAGAGTTGAATCCCAACCGAGTCAAAACCGCCTCTAAAAAGTACCATTCTATCATATCATACGCTTTGCTCATATCTGTTTTAATTGCCAAAAAATCTGTTCTACACATTCTATTAGTCCGTAAACCATGAAACATTTCCTGAGCTAATAAGATGTTGTCTGTTATAAGTCTCCCTGAAACGAAAGCCGATTGTGTTTCAGAGACTAGCCGAGGTAAAATGTGTTTAAGCCTGAAGCAAAGAATTTTTGAAATTATCTTGTAGCTAACATTGCAGAGACTTATTGGCCTAATCTCTGCCATCCTTTGTGGCCTTTCCGTCTTTGGAATTAGACAAATATTTGTTTCATTTATTCTCTTATCGAAACTTCCCGTCCGGAAAAAATCTCTGACCAAACCTACCAAATCTTCCTTTAAAGAATGCCAAAACCTTTGATAAAATAATGCTGTCATACCATCTGGGCCTGAAGTCTTTTCTGGATGCATAGAGAATAAAGCTTTCCTAACTTCTGTTTCGGTTACCTCCTTTGTTAGTTCCCTGTTCATACTTTCCGTAATAATTGGAGACACTTCATTTACCATCTCAGCAATTCCATTCGTATTGGAGACCTTAAAAAGTTCTTTAAAAATTTCAAAAACTTCATTTTATTCTTTAAAAATTATATTTCTTTTAAGCATCAACTTTAGTGTATTTTCCCATAAATGATCATTTATACTCTTTCTTTCTCATTTTATAAGATTTATTTTTGGCTAAAAACAATATATTAAGACATATATGTTTTTACAATAATATCATTTAATATTTTAATTTTGAAAAAATTCAACCAATCATGGAAAATACTTCATAATATAAATGATCACTAAATATTAAATTCATTTAAATTTTACATAGAAACTTGTAAAACATATAATAAAATAAAACAAATAAATAAAAACTTTAAACATCTTATTAAATGGCACAGAGGGAATAAGTTAAACACACTTAAAGTACATATAAACTTTCTTATTAATTATTTGTCAATTTATCGAATAAAAATTAATATTTTTTATTGATAGCTCTAACGGGTTTGTTTTGTTAAGTATAAAATACGATAATATAGGATTTGAAGAGTCATATGTAAATATGTTAAAAAATATTTCAAGTAATAATATTCATAACTCCGATTATTTGGTATTGGGGGATCTCATATCAAAATCTAAACTCGTCCCCACGACTTTAAAAAACCCGGGTATTCTTATCACTAAAAGCATCCACATTGGAAAATGTAATACTCCATGTTTCAACTCTGATGAACCAATCAACTGGACCACCATAAAGTGGTTGATCTAGACTCTATGAGTGTTGAAAAATGAATTTTCTCCAAAGTGGTGTTTGATAGAGGATATGAAGGTCGGTTGAAGATGGATTAACATGTGGTAGACACACTATGTATAATTGTGTGAAAGTATATATGAAGAAAGTTTTGTGCCCCTTGCGTGATATGAAAGTAACATCTAAGGCTAGGCTGCTATGGAATTGTAAAGTATTGAAAATAACAACCACGGATTGGCTTGTATAGAGACAAAATCTAAAAGGCGATACTTAAAAGAACAACTTAAATTCTAAGGCTATGCTTGAATGGAGACAAAGTCACAAAGGTGTTAGACGGATTTTAACAATCTTTCATCCAACCGCCTTTATGTTCCGATCGTTGCTTTTAATTATTTATTTTGGCGTTTTAAGAAATAAAAAAAAAAAAAAAGACAAGAAAAATATCCAAAGGCGTTTTCAAACATTTTGAAGATAATAACATCAAACACTATCCTTTAAAAAGCTTAACCCAAGGTGCGCATATCCTTTTTCATGCTTTAGGAGATATGCTGCTAAATGCAAACGTAAATTGTTTTTCTGGTTGCCCAAATCGTGTCATTTGCACAAACATATACGGTCATTTAAAGTACAAGGCCATACTTATGTATGTGCAAGGTGTGCTTTTGCATTGAGCCTGCCATAAGCTACGAACAAAAATCTTACACATATATATACCTTTTACTTGATCATATATGGGTGGTTTACTTAACTAGCACCTAAAGGCTAAAACTAATAAGGGTTGTTACTTTTAGGTAAAATAAAATTGCCAAAACGAAAGTTTAGGTGCTAGTTCGCAGCCCCGGCCCAAAAGTTTTAAATGCCCTAAAGCAGTGTTTTTTTTTACCCTTCATTGTAACACAAAAAATATTTTGGGCCTTCTCAATATTTATTTTTATAAAATTGGCCATTTTTCGTTAATTTTTAATAAGAAAAACGAAAAATGGACTCTCAAATATGATATTTTGGGTCCTTGTAAAATAAATTGGGCCCTTTTGCTTGAGAAAATTTTGGAAAAGTGGTTTTGTCTCATAACTGCAACATGTAACGAAGAGAATACATCACACCAAAGATTCTCAGTACTACATACGTATTCGGAATACATAGATCAAACTCCAAAAAAGACATGTTGATGTTCATTAATCATTAGATATATTATCATATTATATGCATCACACACAAAAAAAAAACATTATTTGCTGCTTTTTTATATAAATAGCTCAAGATAGTATTTGTTTTTTTATTGAACTCTACCAAAAACTATAATTTAATAGACTAATACAAAGGTTATGCACAACCCCATCACCTATCATTCACCCCTAATCGACAAAATTAAAAAAGATTCAATCAAGAAAAATACTAAAAACCTAGAAAGATTTCATCACCATCAGAAATTTCAGTACTCAGATTATTAGTTTATAACTTTTGCTAATACTATACCTCACCATCATGGTCTTCTTCTTCCTTCTTCATCATCTTTTTCTCATAACTTAAGATCTCATAAGAACCCATTGTAGTCTTACTTATGCATCATCCTCCATTAGGCATTGTCTTTAACTCATTCACTGTGGCTCTAATCTGCTCTTGAACCAATTCTAATCTCCTCGAATAAACTTCCAACTCAAGAATCTGCTGTCTCCTCCACCGTTCATCCCCTGCTCCCTTACCACCAAACCCTAAATTCATCGATGGCATTAGCATCGGACTCAACACACCAAGAGCATGAGCACCACCTCCTGGAAACCCACCCATCGCAGCCATCATCATACCCGTCGTACCATTCATCATCTCTTTAATCATAGGCGATACACAATTCTTCACCGTCTCTTCTATCAACCCTCCTAAATTCCTCCCATCACCAAAATCACCAGCAACAGCCACATTCTCATTAAGATTAACAGCATTCGGCACTAGCCCGTCACTCGGAGCAATAACAGGCTTATCCTCATCAATCTTCCCGATCCTCGATCGTGATCGTTTTCTACTAATTGTCACTTTCTTCTCCAAACCGTTTTCAGAATCAACATCCACATTCACAATCGAGACATTGAAACTCGAGCTACCGTTCGTGTTATTTACATGATTGGTTTCTTCGAAATCCATCACATTATTATCCTCAAACCCAATAATTTTCCCAGTTTGATTCCAAATCTTCCTAGAGATATCAAAAGTAGCTTGATCATGAGGACTTTTAAAGAATACTTCTTTACCAGAACTAAACTTACTCATAACATTCCTATACTTCTTCTTCAACCTCCTTAGCTTCTCCACAAGCTGATTCTTATTAAAATCCAATTGAAGTTTCGATTTGATCTGCTCGTAAAACGGCGCCGTATCGGGCGGATGCGAGCTGTTACCACGGTGGCTCGTGATGTAATCGAGAAATCCACGGAGTAGCTCGATCTCATCTTCATCAGTCCATAGTCTCTGGAATAAACGTCGAGAGTCATCAATCGGTGGTTTTTGATGAACGATTTCGGTCATACGGTGCCATTTCTGATCGGAATCTGACGGAATTGAAGATACAGGTACCGCGGATCCGGCGGGAAGAGCGACGGTTACGGTTCCGGAGGTTGATTTCGCCACCGGAGCTGTGGAAATTGCGGAAATCATTGACGGAGAATTCAGATCTTCGTATTCTGGATCAGGATCGTCATCTTCGGCTTCGTTTGGTTCGGGTATAACAACATCTTCGTCGGATTCAGTTTCTCCTCCTCCTCCTCGGCCACCGCCACCGCCGGCGTCTTCTTCTAGATCCGGTGAATCAACGGAGAAATCAGTTTCACGTTGATCAGATGCCATGAAGAAACGCAGCGAGAGAGATATTTTTCGAATTGATCGAATCAGATCCAGAGAGAAGGAATTCGGTTCACGAGGATTGATACGGCTTTGTTTTTGGGTGGTAGGGTATGGAGAATATCGGAGATGAGTAGGGGTAGTTTCGGGATTTTATTTGGTATAATTATGACTAAGGCGTTGCGAATTGCAGGCAAGTGGTCCAGTGTTTGTTTGGTTACCCGTGCTTGGGTTGTTGCGGTTTTAGTTGAAGCGTGATCTGTGATCATGTCTTCAAAGTCAATGGTCTTTACCGCAACCGCAGCGAAACAGAAAAGCGTTTGATAAACGTGATTTTGTGTATGAGGGTTGACGTTTCCAGGGATGTAAGCGTTTCTTTAACGTCCATTTTAGCGGGTCTGATTGGTGACCAGTGTTTACGGCGGTTAAGAATTTTTTAGTGATTATTAAAAAAAACTATTGAAGAGATTGCGATAAAATTAGATAAAAAAAGCGGTTAGAATAAAATAGACGATGAAACAATGATTATTGTTAGTAACAACCATAGTTCAAAATCGGTTTAGGTGGACTAGGCGTCTGTTTAGACGCTCATGAGCCTCTAAACACTAAAAATTGGGTTTACACATTCAAGATCGTAATTCGATAAAATTAGCTGGTTTAGTGCATATTTTCTTTTTCTTAAGTTTAATAATCTTTTAATATAACAATAAAAATAATATATATCCAATACACCAAAAAGGTTAAGAAAAATGGAATGGTTCGTTTGGTTCACATGGCGATTGGTAAAAATAAAAGTACATGCTTTTCCGAAGCGGTTCACAACCGCTTTGTTTCATATTTTAACCTTCTCTTTTTAACTACCTATTTTAATCTTACATTTCAACAGTTCGTTTTATTCCGTCCAATTGGTAACTTAGATGTAATGATTATTGATTGAGAATCAACGTGAATATATATATAGGACAACTTGATAATATATATTTAAATTTGCTGATTTTCTTTTTTTAGTTTCTTTCCTTTTTAAACCAACTGCAACCGCAAACGTTTGTGGGAACGAGCTTTTGAAATCAAAACGATTTCGATCATGGAGTGGTTTCATCGATTGGTACCAACCGCTAGGCAAGTGATAGCGGGAGAACCAATCAACACCTTAATAAGGAGTTAAAATTTCAACCACCTTAAATTAGGCTACCAATGAAAGCCAACTTTTGGTTCAAAAATTGTTTAATAGAAGAAACCAATTCGATTTATTAGTGACTTACCAAAAAAAAAAAATTCGATTTATTAGTGTAGAACTTGGTCTTGTACAGAAAATAGAAAATAAAGATTTTGACAGAAAAGAAAGTATTTACCAGTTCAATTCAAATGAAGAAAAGAAATTACAAAGCATGTCAACAAGACCCGAAATTGAGTTTTTTTTTTTCTTTACCTTCTGTTTTTAAAATGAACAATTTGAAACAGAGATTTATTTTAGTTAAAGCAAGTGCATTTCTTCTTCTACTACTTCTAATTACCATCATGAAGGAGAAGAAGAAGAAGAATGTGGTAATGGAGAAGAGCTTTAGTATAAACGGAACTTCTCCTTTGTGTTCTGGAAAACTTGCTCCGCAATAGCGGCGCCATTCCCGTCTGCTTTCTTGATCTCCAGACTAGATTTCTGGTAAACCCCTGTGCCTCTCAAAGCATCAGCGATGAAGTCATCAAACCCAATGGCTATAGCTGCTTCGGCTTTGGCTCCATAAACCAACCTCTGCTAACAAGTAGAGACATGAGTACTCATTATGATAATGAAATGATTCGAAAGATGGGTTTGTGTTTCGACATTTTACCTTGAGTCTCGAGAGATGGATGGCTCCGAAGCACATGGGACACGGCTCACAAGATGCATAAATCTCGCATTCTGATAACTCGATTTTGTTCAGTTTCTTGCATGCCTGCGAGTTCACAATGGGTTCAAATCATCTTTAGAAAATCGACCACGTTTCAAGATTTCCAGAGCAAAGTGACTGCAACAAATCGTATACTCTTTTTTTACCTCTCTAATGGCGGTGACTTCAGCATGTGCAGTTGGGTCTGTATATTTCAAAACCATATTGTGGCAGCTAGCGACAACCTCATCCTTATGCACAATCACCGCACCAAATGGGCCACCATCACCACACTCAACTCCCTTGTAAGCTTCTTCAACAGCTTGGGTTAAGAATTTATGGTCGCTGTCATGCACAGCTGATCAAACACAAAGTATAAACATAAACCACAACAACTTCTGCAAACACATACAATATTTAACCAACTAAGAATGGTGGAAACAGAAATAAAAAATGGCAATGGCAAAACTACAAAGCCAAAGGTTCCTATAAGCATCACAACTGATCATAAGTCATCACTATAAGTAATTGCATCAAAATGTTAAGGTCTATATACCTTGTTGGTGACCGGAGAATGCAGACGCCACGGAGATGGTACCGTCTTTTGCTTCCACTACACAGTTCAATGATAGAGCTAATCAGATACTCCAAACACAAACCATCAAAGAACAATAGTAAAAAAAGAAAACCAAATCGACACAATTCATATTCTACGCAACAATTATCGCCATTGATCAACAAGAGCTCATAGTTACTCACATCACAAGTTAGTAGACACAAGAAACAGATACAATTACTTATAATACAAGTAAACATGAATCTGATTACACAATCGAAGAAAATCTGAAGAAATAGTCCAAAATCGAAGGAAATTTCTGGATTCCCGATCTGGAAATTGAACAATTGAATCAGCTTAAGAGAAAGAGTCTGATTCGAGATCAAATCCAAAATCGCAAAGATCGATTCCGTTGTATAATTCGAAAACCTAAAAGCTGCCATTAATATGCAAGTAAAAAACAACGAATCTCGAGCAGAAATTTACAAAATCGAAGGAAAATTGATACTCCGATCTCGATCGACGAAAACACAAAATGCGATGAGGATTCGTAATTGATTTTACCTTTAGCTTCTTCCATGACTGAGAACTTGAAGGATGATGATGATGATTCTGGGAAATTCTGGAGAAATCGAAGAAGGTGGTTGTGTGTGGTGTGTGAAGATTGAAGAAGACAAGTGTTTTATAAACAAAATCAGAGAAGTCCAAATTTGAGATTTGAGAGATAGAGACGACACCAGAAGCTGAGGTGTGAGAGATATAAAGAGAGAGAGAGAGAGAGAGAGAGAGATAAATTGTGGAAAGTGAATTTGTGAGGAAGGAACCAAGAAAATTGGGTTTAATACTTAAAAAGGTGTGATTACTTTAAAAACACACTTAAAACATTTTTTAAAAAAATTCAATTTTTTTCTGAATAATCACAATTTTTTGAGAAATCTGTATTTTGAGGATTGTGAATTATCAAAATTTAATTTTTATTTGTTTGATTCGGTTTTCTAGTTATCATAAATGCGATATTTGCAAACGATTGTGTTTGTTGGCGTTTAACAAAAATCACGAAAATTGTTTCGTACCGCTTTGTGCCGTTTGAAATTGTTAAGTATCAAAAACTCTTATCAGCAAGTGTTTGCGACGACATATAGTTAAACATATCTATTAAAATTTATCTAAAATATTTATAAACATTACAAAAATATTTTTTTTTCCAATTCGCGATCCAAGAAATCAAAACTTATAGCCTATGGAACCTCAGTCTTTGGTGGAAACAGTATCAATTGCCCGCTATTATAGAGCTGACGTTCTCATAAGGCAACAACTCCCAACATTTACCATTGCTTGCATGTACAATGGAATCCGGTTATTGCTCTTAGCTCGTGCTCATCTAGTTAAATATTCTACGGTAAAAAAAGAAATATCGAATATTCTCTCTAATACAATTAATTGATTTTAGACGGCTGATATGATTATAGATTTAATTATTATATGAAAAAGGAACAAAAAGTATATGAAGAAAGCTGAAAAATGGCACAATAATAGAATCGGATAAGTCAAATGACTCAAATGGGATCAGGAGCACGTTAGCATTTGGAAGATAAGACTCATCTTCCATAAAAACGTGCAAAAGAGTGTGCAGTAAAAAAGCCATATTACGGTAAATGGGAATATGGAAAATAAGAATCATCTTCTTTTTTTTTTGGCCGTCTTCTTAGTCAAAATTGGAGTTGGTTTCATCGTTTAATTTGTTTATGAAATTTTCTTTTGAATTTAACTATCTTTTCTAAAAAAAATTTGGGTTAGGACATAGAAGAAAAAATAAAACCATTTAAGCAAACAAATATTTGTTTTTTTTTTCATTTACTTTTTAGTTGGCCGGAAGATCCTTTGTGCTAAGAAAATATACATTTAAGAAAAAAGACTATGGCTTTGATTGGTGAACAAAAATAAAGCACTACAAGTGGTACATATTTTATTTTTACCAATCACAAAAACTTTAGCAAAAGCGTTACTAAAAGTTTACTCTAAGCTTTTTTATACAGTTTTCTCGTACAGTTTTTTCTTACAGTTTTGCACTATTCCGGAAAAGCTTACAGCTCCAGTTAACAGCTAAAAAATTTATACAGTTTTTGGTTACCAATTGGATCCTATTATTGAAGTCCGATACACCGGAGATATTAAGCCGGAGAAGAGAACGAAGGAGAGCTCAAATTTAGATTTAACAGAATCTTTATTAACATGTAAAATGTTTGTTACAAAGCTTAACCAAAACTAAAGTATACTTAAGCTTATATATACATTTCTCATAATCATATTGAACCAACATTAAACCATTCATCAGATAACCGAAGTTAACCAATGAACCATTCAAACCATGTATCATAATACGCCCCTCTCAAATCTTTATCTTCTAAGTGTCTGGTTTAGGAAGATAAAGATTTGATAATGACATCTTCTGAAGTAGGTGATGGAATGGACCTGGATGTAATGGTTTGGTGAGAATGTCAGCATGTTGGTTCCCAGTTGGCACATGAAGAGCTTTAAGATTCCCAGCTTTGATTTGATCACGAACTGTATGGCAATCTATCTCTATATGCTTTGTCCTTTCATGAAAAACTGGGTTCATAGCAATGTGTAGAGCTGATTTGTTATCGCAGAAGAGTTTTGCCGGGCAAGTAACTTTGATGTGCAAGTCTTTAAGCAGTTGCTGTAACCAGATGATCTCACAAGTAGCATGAGCAAGGCTGCGATATTCTGACTCTGTACTGCTACGGCTAGCCACAGATTGTTTCTTTGATTTCCATGAGATCAAAGAATGTCCAAGATAAACACAATATCCAGTGACTGATCTGCGTGTATCTCTACAAGTTCCCCAATCCGCATCCGCAAAACCATTCAAGCATAACTCTGAATCAGCTGAATACATTAAACCTTGACCAGGATTAGATTTAATGTACCTTAGAACTTTGTATGCTGCCTGTAGATGAACATCAGAGGGAGCTGAAATGAATTGACTCAGTTGATGGACTGCAAAAGTGATATCAGGTCTTGTTATAGTCAGATAAAGCAGTCGGCCAATGAGTTCTCTGTATGATGTTGGATTAGGTAGCAAAGTTCCCATGTCTTTAACCAAATGAATTGTAGGATCCATGGGAATAGAGCTTGGCTTGCAATTCAGTAGACCTGCATCTTCCAATAGGTTTTGAGCATATTTCCTTTGACAGACAGTAATTCCCTTTGATGATCTTGCTATTTCCAAACCAAGGAAAAATCTTGCAGGGCCGAGATCTTTGATCTTGAATTCTGAACGCAATAAGGACTTCAATTCCTCCACTGTTTCATCATTGTTGCTTGCTATCATAATGTCGTCTACATAGACTAACACCACAATAAAAGAACCTGAAGTCATCTTGACAAACATGGTATTGTCAGCAGGGGATTGTATGTAATTTGCACCCAGCAAAACAGAAGAAAACCTCTTGTACCACTGTCTTGAAGCCTGCTTGAGTCCATATAGTGACTTAAGAAGACGACATACTGGATTAGGTGGTAAAGAACTTCCATTAGGTGCAGTGTATCCTTGAGGTAAGCTCATGAAAATCTCTTCATCTAATTCTCCATGCAGAAAAGCATTAGACACATCCATTTGTGTCAAACTCCACCCTTTTGCAGCTGCTAGACCAAGTAATAGCTTTACACTTGTTAGTTTTGCAACAGGAGAAAAAGTATCTAGATAATCCAGACCCTCCTGTTGTGTGAATCCCTGAGCAACCAGTCTAGCCTTATATCTTTCCACTGTACCATCTGGATTATACTTGATGGTAAAAATCCATTTACAGCCAACCACATTCTTTCCTGGAGGTAAAGATTCAACAACCCAAGTATTATTAAGCTCAAGAGCATGTAGCTCCTCATTAGCAGCTTTTGTCCACTTCTCTGATTTCATGGCCTGTTTAAATGTTTTAGGTTCTGTCTCTAGATTATATGAAAAGATATATGAATTGTATAATGGGGTGAGTTTATCATATGATATAACAGAGGAAATAGGATATGGAGTAGTATGATGTATAGGTGGTGGAGTAGTATTATTTATAGGTGGTAAAGTAGAAATAGATGGAACAAGAGAGCAATGATACTCGGACAAATAACTAGGAGCTTTAGTTGTGCGTTTAGACCTAGCAATAGGAACAGAAGTAGCACCAGTATCATGTGTCTCTGTTATAGGTTCTAATGGAATGGTACTAGACTCTATATGTGTATCAGACGATGATGATGATGCAGGTGTATGAACAGGCTGATTTTCATATAAAGACATAGAATCAACAAAATGCAGTGGTGCAGGTAAAGGAAGAATTGAATTAGGAAACATGTCTACTGATTTGTTTAACAATTCACTAGTCTTAAAGGGAAATTTGTTCTCATGAAAAACTACATTCCTAGATATAGAAACAGAATGAGACTCCAAATCCAGAACTTTGTAACCCTTGTAACCAGAAGGATAACCAATGAACACACAAGGCTTAGCTCTAGGAGAAAACTTATGTCTATCCTGAACATGAGTAGACACATAGCACAAGCATCCAAAATTCTTTAACAATGTATAATCTGGTAGCTTCTTAAGAAGTAATTCATAAGGATACTTACCATTCAATAAAGGTGATGGCATGCGATTTATTAAGTATGTTGCAGTAATGACACAATCACTCTAGTATTGTAAAGGGATATTAGACTGAAAAAGCAAAGATCTTGCCACATTTAACAAATGTTGGTGTTTACGCTCAACAACAGAGTTTTGTTGTGGAGTGTAAGCACATGAAAAATAATGTTGCATGCCATGTTCTTTAACAATATCATGAAAAGCTAGTTCTGGAGCATTGTCAGATCGTATTGCTTTGATTTTAGATTCATATTGAGTAGAAACAAGTTTAAGAAAAATTGGAAAAACAGTAGAAACTTCTCTTTTATTTTTCAACATATAAACCCAAGTAACACGAGTACAATCATCAACCAAAGTAAGAAAATACTTGAAACCTTCTACAGACTCTGTACTAAAAGGACCCCAAACATCTAAATGGACAAGATCAAATGGCTTTAATGACAGATTATTATGTGAAACATATGCTAATCTCTTTTGCTTTGATAAAGGACATATAGGACACTGTAAAACATCAGAAGAAATTGTTTTTAAAGACGGAATGACACTCACAAGCTTCTGTAATGCTCCTGGTGATGGATGACCAAGTCTTTGATGCCAAAGAACACCATCAGACAGCATAGAAGAAGAAGAAATAGAACAAATCGCAGGAATTGATGGAGAGAGGGTTTTATTCTCAGATTCAAGAATGTATAGATTGTTGAAAAGCTTACCCCTCCCAATCATCAAGCCCTGAGAAAGTTCCTGAATAAAGCAACAAGTAGGATAGAAATGTGAAGAACAATACAATGTTTTAGCTAAACAACTAACACTTATCAAATTGAACTTAAAATCTGGAACATGCAACACATTATGTAATATTAATGCATGAGTAATGATTATAGTGCCAGTGTGTGTTATAGGAACCCTAGTACCATTAGGAAGAGTTACAGTAACACTAGACACTGGTTTTAATTCTGTAAACAT